TAACAGTTTAAACACGTACCAAAGTGTTCAATCAACATTTGAATCTTTGCAGGTTGAACATTTTATTTCCAAAGAAATTAAAACAATAAAAAATATATATAATATATACATATATATTTATTTACATATTGAACGCTTAAAAGAGACAAGTCGCATAAATACTGATAAAAGCGAAGAAATCAAAATAATAGAAAGAAAATATAATATATATATAAATATATATATAGAGCGTATTGGCATGATATGTATATATATACGCCAATTGCGTGTGACGTTAATTTTGTATAATAAATATATACCACAACCGTCTAGGAAATTTTGGCATGGCATTACGTGTTGGGAAGTGAAGAATAATGCAGATCAACTCTCAAAAAGCAAAAGTAAAAACACAAACTCTCTCCCAATAAAACTGGAAAAAAATAAATAATAAAGACTTTACCTTTATACCCTTTATATTTCGGGATTAGACAACATAAACAATAATATATACATATATATATATATAATTGGCGCTTTGTAGACACTGAACCGATTTTCGACCGGGCTCCCTCTCCAATTCGTAGTTTTTGCGTTTTGATGTTTTTCTAACGAATGTAGCGGCCTAGAGCTTATACTAAGGGCTAACAACTGGGCTAACACGGCCGCAAACAAATATTTATCAACGAAAATCGCTTGATTGTTTTCCACATTGCTCTCCATTAAAACCTTTTGCCACGATCACGAAGGTATCTCTTAAATATGTAGTCTGAACGCAACAATCGCTTGTTCTGGTGTCGAAAACCGTTGACCACTTAAAAGCAGTCACTCGGTGCCAAGTTAGTACCATACGGTGAATAGCTCATCAAATCAATGTCTTGAGTGCTCCAAAATGCAGTTGTTTCAGTCGATCCGTCTTCGGCGGTTGCTTTTCCTGATTTATTAAAAGACAACCGGCAAACAAATGTCAGATTTTACTGCTCTGCGATGTTCTAGTGGTACAGTTGCTACAGGCCCAGTTTTTCGCGAATAACTTTTATTGGATTCGGCTCCTCTTAAAGCACCTGTTGACTGTTCTGCACTTTCATGCTCATATGCGTAAATTGGCAATTCAACACCTGTCACCATGTCATAGACGTAGCACTTTTTTGAGCGATTGACAGTTTGTGTGGGTAACATGATGCTCTTGGAATATCAGTTTGAACATACGTGTAGCATCAACAGTTTCTGCAAAAACAACTAATTTTGCATATCCTTAACGAAACTTGTCTTGGTGTGATCTACGACTTCGATTGAATTCACCATACCATCGATGAACGCTGGTCATTGATGGCGCTTAAGGGACACACCTAGTGTAATGGCCTATAGTAGAGGAGATTTTTGGGAATTTTTAATAAAAAAATTGTTCATCCATTTTTTCAAAATTTTAAGAATATATTCATACAATGTTTTATGAATTTACAGTGAAATTTTTGAAGAAAAAAATTAAATATTTTTTAAGTTATAGGCGATCTCCAACGGCGCGAAAAAAAGATCCTTCACTGCTGCAGTGATTCCGACCTTCTCCCTGAATGAAATCTAAATAGAAATTCTCTACTAGATTATATTGTCTGTACAATGAGACACGATAAAAATGAAAGATTGACAATATTTCGGCGTTTAAAAAAAAAAAAAATAGTCGAATTTTACCCAAAATTTTGGTCCTTTTTGGCCTGCCAAAATCCGATTTTTTGATTAGATCAAAAATCGATAGGTCATTGTACGGAGAACTATATATAACAGAATATGTAAAAAAATTCGATAGTAACCGGAACATTTAGTTTTGAGTAATCACTGCAGCAAATTCGGAAAATGCTGTTTCGAGAAAAACGCGTTTAAAGATAAAATGATCGTTTTCACTCGTAGCTACTGAGACTCTCTGGCTGCCGAGCGGCTGCTCTTTAAATTGCTATAACTCAAAAACTATTTGAGATATCGATTTGAAATTTTAATATGTTATTTTTAAAGGTGTAATCTACCGAAATATGGAAAAAAGATCGTTTTTTTTTTGAAATTCCAAACTAGGTGTGCCCTTAATCACAAATTGAATTAAATACATTGTTGGACTGTTACTGAGCTATTCCACGTCGAAATTTGTTAAAAATATTTGCACGCGATTAAATTCCATTTCTTGGCAAAGTTGAATATTTTAAGTTATTGTTAACACCTCAAATAGCATTCGTGTGTTAAAACGTTCTCAGGTTGTATAGAATTGAAAATATAAAACATTGCGATTGTCAATTGCCAGATGCAGAAATATTACGTACATATATGTAGCATACCTGTTTGTATTTAGTATGCAAGTCACACGTAAAAGTCATTATAACTCTCCACTCCATGCACTCTAAAACGTTTGGCACATTGACAAGTGCGGCTGACAAATCTATAACATTGGTAACGGTACTTGGATATTTATGAGCTCTTAAAACCATCACGGAGAGATTTTCTCCTCGTAAATATCAAAATTTTGGCACTCGAGGTAAAAGGGCTTGAATTTTTGGGGATTCCCAATAACAACAAATTATTTTATTAGTTCTAAAACAATTTAATTGTAGATTTAATAATCAGCGCAATCAAGCATTCTTGTATGCCAAATATGTATTATGATCTGCTATCCCTAAATTGGAGCGTTGAACGCTAAACAACTGTCCACAGTCCTCATGGACATATAATTTGTGTAGGACACCCCACAGTAACCCGGTTTCAATGCCGAGCAAATGGAATTTTCAATTTTGACAGCGCGTTAAATGATGTAGTTGTCAATGAAGAATAAAAGTTTGAAAGAAAAGAGAAAAAACTGACGAAGAAGAATAGGCAAGTGGGTGAAAAATTTGACAAATTTACTGTATCGTATTTTGCAAATGAGGCAATAAATATTAACTGAAAAATTAATTCAACTGGTGGAGCACACTTTTGCCGACGGATTAAGTTGGTAGTATCTTGTTTGAAATAAATGCAATTAATTTATTAAATGTTCTTAAAATAATAATAAGAGAAAGAGAAAACGCCAAAAAATTAGCACCCTCATTTTGGGATGCCGCGTGTTGTCGCTCAATGGCGCTAGAAAACGCTACGCCGAACTCTCCAATTCTATATACTCATATGTCAGTTAGTAGTACCATTTCCTTACGCCTATATAAAGATATAGATTCTTATATGATCTCACAATGAGCTCACTGAAATTACATACATATGCACACATCTCTGCATTCAATTAAACACCACACATATCACATACACATATGTACATACACACTCATCAGACAATGAATTCTTTACGGCGAAATAGAATTGGACTTTGGCGCCGATGGCGACAGAATTTAATTGTGTGCATCCGATTTTCGTTGTTGCTTTTGGTTTGCCACAATTTTATTAAAATTCTTTCTTTTTTTTTTTGCTCCAACTGCTGGGTATGGGTACATGGGTATGTAGGGATATACTCGTACATATGTAAGTCAATCACTAAGATTTCTAGATGTTGGTGCAGCAGGCATAAAATTCATTGACCAAAAATACTAACTACATAATCATATGTTTTCATATGAAAGGAAAAAATAAATATTCCTTAAAATATATCAAGTAAAAACTTCGTTCGGTTTTTTTTATTGATTTTTCAAATTATGATAACTTTGTGTACATTTGTCCGATTTAAGTCATAAACTTGTTGCCAACGAGATGCCAACTTCATTATACCCCTCTCGTAGAAGGCTGCATCTCTATTGGCTAAAAACTCGGAGAGCCAATTTTCACAGGCCTCTCTTGAGGCCAACTTTTCACCATTAAGCGCGTTCGCCTTAGACAGGAAAATATGGTTATCACTTGGTGCCAGATCCGGACCATAAGGTGGGTGCATTAGGACCTCCCATCCGAGCTCCTGAAGCTTCTGGCACGTCACCAAAGACGTGTGTGGCCTGGCGTTGTCCTGTTGGAACACAACACAACAAAGATGGCCTCTTGTGGATTAGTGCTGCCTTCAAGCGGTGCATTTGGTGGCAGTACAGGACCAAATTGAGCGTTTGGCCATAGGAGAGCACCTCGTAGTAGATGATTCCTTGCCAATCCCACCAATTACACAGCGAAACCTTCCTGGCCGTCAATCCGGTCTTGTCCGCCTCCCCGAGCTTTGATCACGACCGTTTGTACTCGATGTTGTCATCGCCAGTCACAATTCGCTTCAGAAACGGGTCGATTTTGTTGCGATTCAGCGGCGATTCGCAGATGGAAATTCGGTCCATTATGTTTTTTTGCGTTAGTTCGTGTGGCACCCAAAAATCAAGCTTCTTTTTGAATCAGACGAGAGGACCGATTTTAGACCACTTTTTGTAGCTTTGGGGTCGTATGTCAGCAATAACGCGCCGAATATTGTCTTCCAAGGTGTCAACCGTCTCGGGTTTATCTGCGTAGACAATTAGCGTTACTCATTGACTGTCACATCATAAAGAAATTAGGACCTATGATTCACATTAGCACATTAAGCAGTGACTTTTTTGCCTATGTAACGGCATCTCAACCTTAGCTTGTGGATTATCATCCCTTCAAATGCAACAAATCTATTATTATTTAATATAAGTCTTCTTATTATTTATTAAAATACGCTTTAACCAAAAGTGAGCTTTATCGCTGAATTAAATTTTTTTGCAGAAAGCAGGTTTGGTAGCCATCTTGTTTTGGGCTCATTCGCCTGTCGTCGGCTTCATTTCTTGCACGAGTTGAAATTTTTTTAATCCCGCCAAACGGAATCCTATCTAAAAATGTATGGTCACAGCCAAACGATGGCGGACCAAACTGAGTATAACTCAAGTAATAGTTGTCAAAAAGACCAGTTCCTTATGTCTAAAAAAAAAACACCTTTTATTTAAGGCTACGTCACATCAAGTGATCTTGCATTTGTTTCGGGAATGTTTTTTTTCTTTATTTAAGTTTTTACTTCTTTACTAACGAAATAACTCATATTTTTTTTTTTATTTTTTTATTTTTTATTTCAGCACCAAAACCGTTACCCAACAGTATCGATGATTACGACTTTCGACGCAATGATGCCGTCGAGTATGGTGCACCGTTAATTACACCACTGCTAGATGATGTTATACTCGAACGCAACACAAACTACACAATACGTTGTGAGGCCAATGAGACAATCGATTGGAAAGTACCATTTTATACATACAACAATGCGGTGCAAACATTCGACACCGGCGATGCCAAACGTCCCTATGGCAGCATACTATATCTAATGGATATTTCGCACTCCAATTTGGGTAATTACTATTGCGTAAAGAAGTCAAGTGTGAAAAATGGCATAGATAATGTGTCGGATGAGGAACTGGTAGAATTGGTTAATAACAATAAAGCATCATCAATTTATATATACGTGAATGGTAAGCGAAAGTGTGTTGGTATTGGTTTTAGTTAAATATTACATAATTATATTTCTCTTTGCTTTATCTTTAGATCCGTCATATTTAATATCGCAAAACGAGTTTCCCGTGATAACCGCCTATCAATATCAGGACACAGTGATACCGTGCAAGCCAACAATGCCTGACATTGAAGTACTCCTAACAACATCGCATGGTGAAGTATGTACAAATAATTGAATTTTCAACTGAACTACTGCTTTTATGCGATCTGAGAACTTTTACACTTTCCACACACGCACACACAGCACCAATATGCGCTTGTTCAGAGCTGTTTCATTTAATCATTTTACGTTTTTAGGCCATAGTAGGAGATGTAAAGTGAATCGGTGAATTTAAAAAGGTAGCGGGCTAGTCACTTCAGGGCGTGTTGGTAACAATAAAATTCTTCGATACTACAAGTTTGAGATCTCCATTTATTAGTGTTTTCGTACAAATTGAAATTATATCAAAATGGAGAAAGAATTGTTTCCTCAGGACCTTGTGAAGCTGTTGATCTAAATTTTAGGTTATGTTCTCGACAAAAAAAAAAAAGTAGCTTCTTAAAAAAAATTTAACAGCTTTATTGGCTAACAAAGTTCTTGGAAAAAAAGTGAGGTTATGTTCAATATTTTCGTTTTTCAGTTTATAAGCATTTTAGAGTTAGAGTTTTGAAAAAGTTTCTTTTAATTCCTCACACAAGTGTCTATAGACTTGTAGATTTAAAAAATGGTAAGCCATATTGGAAAAAAATAAAAAATCGTTTTTTTTTTGTTTAATTATTTTTTAGAAACTTTGTTTGTTGTTTTTATTGAACAAAATTCGTATTTTGATATTTTACGGGTGAAATGATAAAAAGAATCGATGTTTGTACAACAAGAAGCGGTTTTTAATTTTTTTTTTCCAACATAGCTTATATATACGAGGTGTGTTCAAAAGGTATCGCGAATTTCGAATTTTCGTGGGTTAGGAATAATCGAATTTCGATTTTTTTGTGGCGTTATGTTGGTACTCATATCTGTCACTTATGACGGCAAGCTCAGCCATTTTGAATGTTCACTTAATTGTTGACAGTTGCTTTGCTTGCACGTGCTTTGGATGGTCTCCGATTTTTACCAATTCAAAAAAAAAAATGGATCAAAGAACCTGTAGCAAATTTTGTGTGATAAACGAAATTAAGTGCGCGGATGCATTCCGAATGTTGACTGTGGCATACGGAGAAGCTACCTTGGACCGAAGCAACGTTTATCGATGGTACAAAATGTTCTCAGAAGGGCGAGAAGATGTAAACGACGAAGAGCTGCCGGACGCCCGAGCACTTCAACAACAGACGAAAAAATTAATTGCAGGGGCGTGGTACATCATGAGTTCTTGCCACAGGGTAGAATGGTCAATAAGGAATATTATGCGCAATTTGCGCGAAGCAATCCGCCAGAAACGTCCGGATTTGTGGAAGAACAAAAATTGGCTTTTGCACCCAGATAATGACCTTGCTCACACATCGTTGCTTGTGCGCGACTTTTTGGCCAAAAACAACACACTAATGAAGCCGCAGCCACCGTATTCCCCAGATGTGCCCCCTGTGACTTTTTCTTGTTCCCTAAACTGAAGAGGCCCATGAAAGGACGACGTTACGCTACGATTGACGAGATAAAGACGGCATCGAAGGAGGAGCTGAACAAGATAAAAAAAAATGACTTTTTGAAGTGCTTCGAAGATTGGAAAAACCTTTTGGGATTACTTTGAAGGGGACAAAATAGATATTCATGAACAAATAAATAATTTTTGAATAAACACAAAATTCGTGATATTTTTTGAACACACCTCGTAATATATAATTGGCATTTTGTAATCGCTGCAATTTTTTTGGCCGAGCTCCTCCGCCAATTTGTGGTTTTGCGTCTTTATTTCTTTCCAATAAATGTAGGGGCCTACAGTTTATACTAAGCCGCCTCCGAAAGGCTGGTGGTTTTTTTACGAGGAGCTTTATGTCATGACCGAAATAGACTCGGAGGGGTGGACATTCCCTGCCGAGGAAAAAAACGCAAACTTTGAACATAACCTCGAATTTTTTAGGCATATAATATAGTGCGCCGATAAAGCTCTTATTCTTGTTTTTCTAGGAGCTTTTATTACGGCCCAGAAAACTTTTAGAGCAAACGTTGTTGATAAACTTATTATTTATATAGAAAATGGTAATAAATAGTGATTTTATATTTGTAGTATTGAAGTATTTTATTGGCGCCAGACATGCTCTGAAATAACGGTGCACAATACTTTTCTGGTGTCGATACACTTTGCTTATCATCCTAAGGCCTTAAATTATTTAATATCGTAATTTATTTTGTTTTTCATTTTACTAAAAATGGTTTTGGTTGTTAAATGCAGTTTTTTTGTTTTTGTTTCAATCATTAGAATGGTGAGACTGCCAAAATTATATATTCCTCAAAGCAGGAGAAACACCAACACACAAGTCCGCTGATAGGCAATCCCTTCGATAATGTGGATGACATTCCTCTTGGCAATATATCCGACTCAATTCAATTCGATCCCAAAATTGGATTTATAATACATAATGTTAAAGATTTACCAGATTTGGATTGTTTTGGCCGAAGTGAAACTGAGAATAGTTCTTTTACTACGTTTAACGTTAATATGAAACGTATGTTAATCATATATGTATGTACATATACTTGTATGTACACAAATATATTCGATCAAAAATTCCTATTTTGTGTATTGTAGATTGCAATCGATTTGTATATACATATATGAAAATTCTAATGTTTTTTTGAGTACAGTTGAAATTTATACCACAAACGAACGTACAGACACATGTACATATGTAATTCGAGTTAACTGCTCACTTGTGTAAATATCCATATGACAATAATTTTCCTACATAAATATGAAATCAAAATATATCCATATTTAAAACGTTGAATAATTGTAGATTGATCCGATAATAAAATATATTCATATAAACCACAGTAATTAGGAGTATGAAAAAAATTTCTTTATAATCAATACATATGTACATATAATATACGTGCAGTAGTTACGAATATCTTTTCACAAAAAAATACTATAAATTGAAGATGAGCTGTCCTCCTTAAGGGGCACACCTAGTGGGAAATTTAAAAAAAATCAATCATATTTCGGTAGATTACACCTTTAAAAATAACATATTAAAATTTCAAATCGATATCTCAAATAGTTTTTGAGTTACAGCAATTTAAAGAGCAGCCGCTCGGCAGCCAGAGAGTCTCATTAGCTACGAGTGAAAACGATCATTTTATCTTTAAACGAGTTTTTTTCCAAACAGCATTTTCCGAATTTGCTGCAGTGATTACTCAAAAGCAAATGATCTGATTATTATCGAAATTTTTTACATGTTCTATATATTCTCCGTACAATGACCTATCGATTTTTGATCTCAACAAAAAATCGAATTTTGGCAGGCCAAAAACGACTAAAATTTTGGGTAAAATTCGACTATTTTTTTTAAGCCCCGCCATATTGTCAATTTTTGATTTTTTTCTTTATGGTAGGTCATTGTACAGACAATATTATCTAGTCCAACGAGTATTTTTTTTTTTAGATTTCATCCACGGAGAAGGCCGGAATCACTGCAGCAGTGAAGAACCTTTTTTTGCGCGCCGTTAGAGATCGTCTTAAATAACTTAAAAAATATTTAATTTTTTTCTTCAAAAATTTCACTGTATATTCTTGAAACATGTATAAATATATTCTTAAAGTTTTGAAATAATGGATAAACTATTTTTTTAATAAAAATTCCCAAAAATCACCTTTTTTTTTAGGCGCTTACACTAGGTGTGCCTCTTAATACCCTCCATAATCAAAACAAATTTATTGTTTTTAATTTTAGAATTAAATATTATTTTTCCTATCGGAACAAATCAGTTGTATAGGGGTTATATGATAGAGTCCTGCGATTTCGATAATTTTCATCAAATTTCATGCGCATAGTTGCTTTTTTGATAAATTTATTACTTAAATCTGATAAATCGTGTAGATCAGCTAAACCGTTTAAATGTACCAAGTTTGCATGAAACATCTCAAAAAATGAGAGACTGAATGACGTACAAACAGACGGACAGACAGACAGATGGACTTGGCTAAAACAACTGAACTCATCAATCTGACTCGATCAAAATAGATTTCGTTGGCTCTATCTCTTCTCCTTCTGGTACGTACATACTTCGGACCGAAGGTAATATACCATTTTATGTACTTGAAAGGTATACAAATTTAAGGTGGGGCGAGCTCTGAGAAGCGCAGTTGCTAACTCCAAGTGGGATACTCCTTATTGAAGGTTTTTGTATGTCAGAAGCCCATTTCGTTCATACTGTTTCGTACGACTGCGGATATGTTCACAGATGCGGCAATTCGAGCCCTGATTTCAAAGGCATACCGATAACCTCTAAAATGTATTAATTTCTAAAGAAAAAACCAGTTACAGTTGTACATTCAGACTCTTTGAAATGTAAGGAAACTGTAAAAAGTATGATTTCTAAGAGAGAAAAAAATTAGTCGAAACAATGAGGCGAACACTTTGGTTTGAAATCCATTCTCTATGGCAGCCTTGCGACTGCCTGAAAACTCATCACAACAAATATATTTTGATGCTAAAAATTGGTTTTTGATTCTTAAATATAGCACATTTTTTATGAAAATTTCGTTTAGCGCAATCATTTCCTTCACTTTCAGAAAAAATTGTACAGCAACTACACGTTTTATTTTCGGGTTCTAGGGCAGTAGTCTCCGCCTAACTAAAATGCTTGTAACTTTCAAATTATATTCTTTATTTACCGTCTGATCTTCCGCTAAGAATTTCAAGTGCATTATGCCGTGATATAAAAAGGAACGGTCAAAATTGCTTTGACTTTTTATCGACTTTTACATGGGTTATTAGGTATCGCCACGGTCGGAAGACGTCACTCAGGTGGCGGCTGACTGGTTTTCATACCGGTCTGGGGAGCCCATATCAGATTCATAGTGGCAATGATGCTTTTGATAGAAGTGCGTCAGAATTGACTAATTCTGTCATGCTCGCACCGACCGTTAAACGATTGAGTTTTTAAAAAAAATTCGAAACAATTAAACTCACCAAGAAGTATTTTTGAAATTCTTAAATAGGCAACTACTGGCACTTTGTTTGATAGAATGTACTTCTGGCTTGATACTTGTTAGATTTTGGCACCACGAATTTTAACCCAACTTTAGCTTTGACTTGATATCGATATTATACTTATAAACGTTAATGTAAAATTTTAATAGGAATTGTTCATAACACTTGAAAAAGTTTAATCTTAAACGTTATTACTTTACACACGTAGATATTTACATACATATTTTAATATTAAATCACGCAACAAAACATTTATTTAATCAATCATCGTTAAAAAAAAATCGCTCATAAATATTAACAGTATATTTATTTCATTAATATTTACTCAATTACATTATAATTATGAATATAATTATATTATTTATTTTTTCTATAAAAAAAAAAGATGTTAACGCCACTCTACAGTTACTTTCAGTCCCTTTCAACTTTAATCGATAACTTTTTTTACACGATAACATTCACAACTCATATTTCTCTACTTTCCTGCCACATGCTTATCGCTCAAAGATATAGAATTTTAATACTTTACGCATACGTTATTGAAATTCAAAACCCAAAAATATATTTTATTGGTATTTAGACATTTTCCAGTGAAAGTACCGGCCGCTATCATCCACAGCGCGGTTTCGTCGTCGAAATACGCGGCATTACGGACAGCGGCAGCTATATATGCCGACCAAAAGTGCCGTCGCCCGAAAATGAAGAGGAGGAAATAACCTTTGAGATCCATTTTGTTGGTAACGAACCTATTAATCGTGAGTTTTGCACCCCACATTTGTGATTGTTTTCTGTGTCTCTTGTACTTTATATTCAACTATTTAATATTCTTATAATTTATTTGAAAATAATTTTTCTCTTTTTATACGGTTTGATTGTTATGAACGGAAAAAGATTTTGAATTGAGATTAATTTATTGAAAACGACAAAATTATTCGATAATTATGGTGAAAATTAGTAGAAAGAGGGTTAATTTATTTTTTTTTTATTATTAATTTAAAAAAATTACGTAAAGTATTTTTTAATAAATTTATGGTAGTTTCGGCTGAAATCAAAATTTGTAGTTACATACATAGGTCTAGTATAAAGTAATCCATTATTTTTAAATTAAATTTAAGGTTTTTGTCTAGCTCATAGAAAGCCTCGCCGCTTGGGTAAAAAATTGGCACAATCGATTTTCAAAGTCTTCTCTTCAGATCAACTCTTTACCAGCCAAATCAAAGGTCATAGACAAGCACAGTTGCTTATCACTCGGTACGAGGTCCGGTTATAATGTGGATATATGTATGTATAAAAATGGTTTGGCATTATCCTGGTGGAGCACATTACTTTTCCTATTGGTCACAACTGGGCGTACTGGGCGTTTGTGGGAGACGGTGTAATTGCTGGCAATTCAGGTTGGTATTAAAAGTTTGGCCGTAGGCGACAAGCTCAAACACACAATAAAATCTTCCTGGTCATCGATGCTGTCTTGGGGACCATTTGTGCCGGCTGACTTGTCTGTAATCACGACCGTTTTCCCCTGACCACCAGTCAACAGTTAATGATTCAGCAGCGATTCACAGATGGAAATAAGCTCCATAGCATTATTTTCTCGTTAACTCATGTGGCATCCATACATCTAGCTTCTTTGTGTATCCAGACTTTTTCAAGGAATACCAAACTATTTTTCTGCAATGTTTAGCTCCTGGGCAATGCAAACAGTGCTCGCTTGACGGCGAGTCTCGACGATTTCCATTATTTTAATGAGATTTTCCGCAATTGGACTTCCACACTGTGAAGCATTTTTTACTTTAAAATTACCAGAACGAAATCGACGAAATCAACATTGTGCTTGACTGTTGACTGTTACAGTATCAGGACATTATTCACCTTTTCGGCTGCCTGAGCTCAACTTTCGGTATATATCGCAGAAAAATTGTAGATTATAGAACAAACACTGCTACTGAGTACAAAATATCAGCTTTCTAATGTCATCTAGTGTAATCAAAATCGCACTTATAGAACGCGAGATATACATAGATCACTAAAGCCATCTATTGCAAAAATAATGGATTACTTTTTACTTTACCTATATAATATCTAAATTAACGTATGTATAGTCAATGTATTATTTGATTTCTTTTTATTTGAAAAATGGTGTTGGTAAAATCTCTTTTAATTCAATTTAAACGAAAATTTAACGAATTTTAACCTTCACTCTTAATGGCCTTTCTTCTATTTTCTTCTTACCCACCATTTATGGCCCTCCATCGTACCGGTGATTCTTTATACACATACTAAATAAATAAAAACGTGAATTAAAATCCATTTTATTCTCGATTAATGCTGAAACATTAAAAATGTAATTAATTATAAAATACACTCGTTGAAATAAAATTCGACAAATTAAAGCAACGGAAAAACCATCGGTGGAGGTTACACTAGCTACAATCGATAGCAAAAATATCGTTAGCATCGAAACGATAACGCACAACGTCAAACAAAATATAACCTTAAAATCTAAACGCATTTATATACCCAGAACAAGCCGAAGCACGAAATACAATACAAGTACAGTAACTAACAAAACTATGTCTGTCATTAACCGCATTTTTGATGTTGCTAAAACAAACAAATTGCATACTCGTATTTTGCATAGAAATTTAAATAAAACCGTTGTTGTACCAGATATGAATTTGGATGTGGATGGGGATGTGGATGTTGATATTAATGTTGGCTCTTTTAATTATGGTGCTGGAAATAATACTGATGAGTATAAGCAAATGTTTGGCGCTGAAAATTCTAACCAAAAAATCCTAACAGATGTTGTGGGTGTTGCTGCTAATGCTAATGGTGACGGTTACAGTACAACACACGCGACAACTATAAAAAATTTTAATGAAAATTTGGTGAATATTAAAAATGGCGAAAATATTATTTATGAACAACATCGTTCAAGCTCAAGCTCAAGCGTCACAAAGCGCCCTGCGCTTCTTAAACGCGTTGCGCCAACTACACGATGGCAGGCTTCAAGAGTCTCTAATTCAGGGCGCTGTAAGTTCTACACACACTCACGTATAAAAGTATGCTTACAACTGCCATTTTGCAACTGCATTCATTTAGCTTTTTAAAACCTCTCTTTTTCTACATCATCGTTAATGCACGAAATTTTATTCATGTTTTCAACGCGCCGCGCAAGTAAAATTGCAAATTACAGTATTTTGCTGCGCAGTCGCTTTTTTTTAACCTGGCACACAGTTGATTCATACGAGGTTACTTACATATGTTTCATTTAAAAGCTTTAATCGAAGCTTTTGTGCATAAAAGTTGAAAGCTTCAATAGAAGCTCAAAACTGCAAAAAAAATATTATATTTTAAGAATTTAAATTTTATAGAAATCTTTGCAAAACTTCAACTGAAAAAAGCTTTAGCGAACTTGTGAAAGCTCAGAATACGAAAAATTTTTTTTTTTCATTTTAAATACTCAAATGCCAATTTCGCAATATGCTGTATAATACTTAAGTTAAAAAGCCTTCGTGCAAACTTATGCGAAATTGCAAAAGTGCACACTATGGCAAAAACCAACGTAGAAACTATTTTTAGATTAAAAAAGCTTTGCGTAAGCTTAAGCAAAATTGTGAAAGCTGATACAAAAAATTGAAGTTTTTGTTTTAAAATCATAAATAAAAGGTTTGCAATATGCTTTATTATAGATACAAAAGTTAAAAAAAAAAATAGCGAAAGCTCATTCTGCAGCCAAAAAATGATAATGACAATACTAAAATTTTTAGATACTTACATTTAATAAAAAAGAGCTTGGCGTGAGTTTAAGCGAAAGGATACCCAAAAGTAAAGATTTCATTTTTAAAACATAAATATTTCTTATACCTAAGTTAAAAACAACTTGATGTAAGGCTAGTTCAATTAGCAAAACCTTTATCTACGGCAAAAAAATTATGATGATATTTCAAAAAAAAGCTGTAAGAGTAATATTCCAAAAATTTTTCTTTCATAATATAACATAGATTTAAATATTAGAAGAAACTTAATGTAAGTTTAGAAAAAAAAACTTTACTTACGAAGCTTCATATTTTTATTTAATAGTATCAATAGTTCTTCTATTTTAAAATAAATAATACTATTTTCTAATTAGCACTAAATAACGATCTGGTTATGGGTTTCATAATGTCTTTTTTACGAAATATTCCAAGTCATAAAGTTTTTCCTCTCTCTACTTCTCATTAGTATCTGTTAGAGTAAAGAGTTTTCTGAAAAATCTAAAAGCTTTGATAAAGATAAAGATAAAGATAAAGATAAAGATAAAGATAAAGATAAAGATAAAGATAAAGATAAAGATAAAGATAAAGATAAAGATAAAGATAAAAATGCTTGCGTAATATAATTCAGCTTTCAGCTTATTAATAAATTTAAACGTACGATAAATTATAATGCTTTAAAGGCTCTATTGATTAAGTTTAATTTGGGTAAGCTGGAACGCTTCAGCAGTTAAAAAGTGAAAAATATACAGTTATATCTGAATTAATTAAAGATTAGGCTAAAGGTTTCCTAAAGTCTTTATCCCCATGAATTAATTTATCCTTCTTCCTTTGCTCTCAAGGTAAATTTAATTTATACAGCAGTTTTTTCTATATATACTCTTGTCGCGTTCGATATTATAAGAGTTTTAAGGTTTTGGCAAAAAAGTATAAAAAAGCTTTTAATAATAATGTATGCATTAAATTTAATTTAAAAAAAATGTGTTGATTTAAGTAGATAATAAAAAAGACGCTTTGAATGCGGAAAAAGGTTTGAGCTTATGTGATGAATTAAAAAGCTTTCAAAGCTCTAATTACCAAACTTAATTTGATAAGAAGAATGCTTATTTGGATAGTTAACAAATCAATAAGTATTTAATATAGAATAAGCTTTCGCAGTACAAGGGAGCTTTCACATTGAAAGTATATTTTTAAAAGCTACAAAATTTAGTTAATTAAGGATGCGCAGTAATCTAGTAAGCTTTGAACTTTTTCTACTGAAACTATTCGTACAAGAGACCTTCGAAGCTCACATAATGCATAAACTCTGAAAATATTTTTTTCTCTATTTTTTTGTATTGGAAATTGGCTGAAAATTACTTATGTAATTACATATGTAAATATCTCATAATTATTTGTTAATTCATTTTTCATTTCTTATTGACTAGTCGAAATATATAATATATGTTGCTTTGTTTACAAGCCTTACTAATGACAATTGTTGTATATTCATGCTTTTATGTTTATTTTGAATGTCTTAAACAGCTTCTCATGCTTTATTTAAAATCGATTTCATTCTTCTTTCCTTTATTTTACAAATCTTAACACTAAAGAAAAAAATCATAAAGAAATGCATTTCCCCGTGCAATTCTTTTTATATTATTATTTTCTTTTAATTTCTATTTAAATTTTTTATTTATTTGTATCATATTTATTTGTAAATATGTAAATATTTGTCTCTTAGTTGCGTATTATATTTTTATTATTATTACATATTTTCTATTTTGTACTTGCATGTTCTTTGTTTGATTTGTTCTCTTCTGTTCTATGTATATCCCAAAGTAATGTTGGCTTTTAGTTGTTTACTTAATGCGGCATAGAACATTTATTTATTAATATTATACTTTTTATTATAAATTTCTTCGCGAAATCCAACTTCCACAGCGAGTACGAAATATATCGAAAAGCCGATTATAACCTCAAATTCCCGTGGACATGTGATCGTTGGCGAAAATTTCACTCTGGACTGCTATGTTAAAATCGCCTTTGATGTTTCCTACAATCAGGAATGGCAAACACCAGCAGGAATTGATGAGGTGAGTTTGAAAATTTCATATCTTCGAAAAACTTTGATGGAAACTGAGTTGATTAATATTATTTTGAAGTGCCACAAACTATTGTTCCTAATAACCACCCAGTCGTCGTTATTTTCACAGTAGTCTTGCAAGAACATATTAGACATACAGCCGATTCAATGCTCCTCATCATTGTTCATAATGAAAATATAGAGCTGTAATATATGAGATTCTTTGAAGTCATTTTGTCGGTGACCTTTAACTGTGGGCTCTGGAATGAAATTCAAAAATGAAGCCACTCGTAATGTTACAGTCAATGGTTACTGCTGATTAATGTTTTTTTCATGCCTCAATTATCGCTTGTTGTGAGCCTATAGCGTGGCTTCCAAGGTCGTGCGATTTAAGCCCGACACCTTTGGAAGGGAATATTCCGCGCGTTATTGCTGACATCCGGCTCCGATTGCTTCAAAAAGTGTTCGAAAATTGGACCTCTTGACTAGAATTTGTTTGAGCCTGTCGCGGTGCTCACTTGTCCGTTTGTCCGTCTTGAAAACCATAGGTGTAAAACGAAAGCACCGGTTCTTAGAAGAAGTATCTCTGAAGGTTTTATTATATTATACATATATGCTTTATAATAGACTGCTGCGATTCCAATTTATACCGTGCGTCCTGATGTTTCTTCCAACAAATAAAGTGCCTTACAGAATGGACTTTTATGTGAAGTTTTAATTTTTTTTTGGAAGAAATACACTCTCCCGTGCCGAGGGGTAACCACAATTAAAAAAAATGAATTAAATTTCTTTTTTTTAATTAGTTTCTTACATCGAACAACCCTCATTTTAAGTCGGCTATCTTGGAAATATAGCACTGCTCAAAGTCGCTCATCATGCTTGGTCGAGCTCATCCAACTTCTAGTTTCCCTCCAAGTTCCAAAAACCAAGAAACAACGCGATAGATAGTCTGCTTTGTTTGGCCATATCCTTCAGAGATCGGCGACAGTCCAGCGTAACTTTCAAGTTCGGCGTTATCGAGCCTAGCATTTACGAGTATATCCTTATATTCAAAGTTGTCTCGCAGTCCGTCTACTACTGCAGTCCGATGTATTACATCTGTTGCACATCTTTGAATTTTATCTTTAAAATTAGCATCGAACGCTCTATTAATATATGTAGCTGACCACCATACAATCGTTAAGTATTGCTACTAATATTCAGATCCAGCATTCACCTCTTGGACTTATGCGTCTTGCCAATAGCCCTTATGCATATATAGAGATCAGAAGCAGCCACTGTGCAGAGTCGGTGAGTTAGTAACAAATAGAAATTCATCTCTGAGAGAATTCTTTAGCTATTGAACACTCTGCTTCTATGCTTCATTCCTCTCGTCTCGTACCGCCGGGCATCAAAGGTCTATTTATTTATCTTCTACCTTCGTTACATTATTTTTGGCTACCATTCCTTGCCGTATAATAATAATTGAAGATTGAAGGCGATCTCAACGTCAGCTTGCAGCTGCACCTGCAGTCGCTGAAATACAAATACAACGAGCCCTCAAACCGATTATATCAGACAGGGTCTACTGAACCTCTCCCATTATTTGCCAAGAACCAAGTTTCCGAACGGTCAAGCTAGTGCTCCTTGGGCTAGAATTGATCACTTTAACTACATACCTGGTGGAGAACTGAACTTGTGCACAATAAACTTCAAATCACTTATTCCATCTCGTATACCCCGAAATAAAAAGTGCCCCATTAAATTTTTTTCAATAAATTTCCAAACAGACGCGCATGATAAAATCCAAACCCACTTTTTTGAATTCAACCTCAACACATGAGCTGGGCGTTGGAAAACTCACTATATTGAATGCACAAAAATCGGATTCGGGACTGTACGAATGCATCTGCACTGATCACTCGAACAATGTGGGACGCAACACTTATCAAATGACAGTTTTGGGTGAGTTTTCAATTATTTCCTTGTGTCTTTGAATTAGTATACTGTGTATGTCCATGATATCCATCATCTTCGCCAACAGATCGCGATGAGGGCTATATAAACATCAGCGAACCTTCGGGTTATTACAAAATCGCCGGTAGTGCGAACAAAAAGATACAGATCAATGTTAAATATCGTGGTTATCCATTTCCCACGCTCACCTGGCATAAGCCGGACAAAACCCAAATATATCCGTCGAAAAAATACATCATCAACACCACCGACACATCGATAACGCTGCAAATATTGAACGCCCAATTGGAGGATAGTGGTCAATATGTCATCCGCGCTAAGAATGAATTGAAAGTGGAAGAATTGCAGTTCGATGTGACAGTGAACGACAAACCGAAAGTCACCTTGGATGATGTTTACGTACAGGCCGGTGAGGAGGCTCATCTACAGTGCAGAGTCTTAGCGCATCCAATGGCTAATGTGTCGTGGGTCTTTAAGCCGTGCAGCATAACGCCACGTTGGCCATCATGTGATAAGCGGCTGGAACAAAGTTTTAATGTATGAAGAAATTGACTTTTATTAATTTTTGCCCTTAATTACTCATTGTGACTCTCATCTTATAGTCCACAGGTAGTGCAATCTCTGGAAAACTGCCCATTGAACGGATATACGAACTCTACTTTACGCCTGTTGAGCCGGGTATCATGCATTGTTTGGCCAAAAATACGAAGGGCAATGTAGAGGGCAGAGGTCATATTCTGATAGGGGACATAAATGATAATATGACGATATTTGGTACGGATGAGAATAAGAAAATTGCACGCGGCGACGATGTGACGCTCACATGTGCTGCGTTGTCCTATTACTTCTCTGACGATCTCGACTGGTACAAGGATGACGAACTGGTGGAAGAGGGCAACAGTAAGTATAAATATTGTTAAAGTGAGCTCTTAAGCTATTAATAAATACCTAATTTTTATTAATTTCAATTTGCAGATTTTGTCATCACCAACTCCACCACCCGCTACTCATACCAAAAAACTCTGACGATCAAAAATATACAAGATCGCGATCAAGGCAGTTACGAGTGTCGTGCGCGAAATGCTAACTATCACGATCTGAAGGAAAGCAAATATAGAAGTATTTTTGTTAACGGTAAGTTGGTCTTCTAACACTCAGACTATAATTACCATCCTTCCGATCCATGGCCGTTTTAGACGAGTAGATAGCAGTGTGTACTACAGTGTGGAAGTACCTTGGCACAACTTAGGTCTGGATTCTGTATCAGGTTAAGCTCCTACCTATCCAGACTCGGCTCCAGCATATCCAACATATGCCCTGCATGTGGAGAGTCTCCGTACGACACTAACCACCTCTTCATATGCCCCTTAAATCGATCATCTAACCACCCCCTCTCCTTCCGGTCCAATCCCGTCGAAACAGCAAGTTGCCTGGACCTCCAACTAGATGACCTCGGCTACTTAGATTGATTAGACCATTACCTATGCGGGTTTAGCGAACCACTACAACAACAACAACAACAACAAACTTTCTTAATTTTGCGCGCTCGAGTCCTGCCCAAACCAACATCCAAGATTTGATTAGAAGAAATTAATTTATAAACTTCCTCGGCAGAGAATGCCCACCCATTCAAGATTAATTCCCACAAGCGGTTCGTAGACGACTTAAAATTAATTGTTGATCCCTCAATTTGGTGGAAACTCATCAAGACTTTGGCGGTTATAAAACGCCAATGAGGTGCTATTTCAGCGTCTCACTCATGCCTTCTTCCCTGTACTTCCTGCCTGTGTCGTCGTTACTAAAGCCTATTCCACTCGCTGCAATTCTTGGGAAACCGCGTTAGCAAAATGTATACGTTATTTCTTCGTTGCTCTTTCTCATGATCTTGGCGACCCTATATGTCGCTACGACATTCCATTCCACGCTGATCCGTCTGTCAACCCTTTCGAAAAATTCATTCTGTATCGCTTTTATCAACTTGCGATGGAATGCTCTTGTGGTCTGGAACCCACTATACGCCGCTTTCCTGCAGCTACCACATTCACCGTATCACTGCTTCTAAGGACATTTTCTACCTCAACAGACGTGAGACTAGAGCCACATGGACCTAGTCATTAGAGGTATTCTTGTGAAATCTGCATTCGCTCTGGTAAAAAATGTATTCCGTCCGTGTTAAGGTGTGGGTCTCTAAAACTTAGTCAAACTTTACGGTTTGTCTGGACGTTCTTAGATGCCATTAGATGCATATAAAATTTTCGAATTGGATTAATCTTGAAAAATATTACAATGATTACTTTTTTACAGAACCTCTGGCACCCACAATACGCAACAATTGGAATGACAGTGACAAATTGGAGCGAAAACTTGGCGACGCCTTAGAATTGCAATGCACACCGGAGGCCATACCAGCGGCTGAAGTGCATTGGTACAAAGATGATAACGAGCTCAGCAACAACAGCTCTGTGGCCATTGAGGAAGAAGGTAGCAAATTGTTCATTCAATATTTAAAGCCCGAGCACGAAGGTGTATTCAAATGTGTGGCCATTAACCGGTTGGGTTCGACGGAGTCCAGTACGTCTGTCAAAATTACAAGTAAGTTTTTCTTTAAACAGGCAAAGCTGTCGGTATACGAGGGAGCGTTTTTATGTTCGCGGAATTAGAATCAGTAGATGATTAGTAAATATACTAGCCCGTGACTTCTTCTTCTTCTTTGCTGACGTTAACACCGCTTTCGCGATTATAGCCGAATTTATAACATTATTTCTTTTGATTTCTGTTCGGTGCCAATTGGAAATACCAAGTACAGCCCGTTCCTTCTCTACGTGGTCTTCTCAGCAGAGTGGGCGTCTTCCTATTTCTCTGCATGTACCGTCGGGTACTGTATCGAAAACTTTCAAAGCCAGAGTATTCTTATCCATACGGGCCACATTACCAGCCAGCGCAGTGCAGGGGTATAATGGGGTGTAGTCAAGCTTCTGAGTAAGCAGTTACAGTAGCGAGACTATAATCAATTTCTACTCTCGCCTCCGCGTCGCGCACCCTGTGCCAGATGCGGTAACCAACCCGTATGTATTCTTGGGTCACGGCCAAAAGAGAGGAAGCTATGGCTTCAAAAGTGTGCACAAACTTTAAACTTACTCGCCTAGCGAGGATGTGCGCTGGGTTTGGGTCCCGTCACGTAGAAAAGTAGTGCTTTAGGGTTTTCACCTAGTCGACACAAGTTAGTGGAGCTTTTAGAAAAGTAGATAGTAGAATGCACTCGGAAGAGGGTTTTCACCTTTCCGAAAGAAAGGTCCCTCCGCCAGAGATTTTCTCACCGCTGCCATTACGATAGTAAAAAAGTTTTTGTTGTAAAATTTGAACGAGTACCGTTTCCTTACCAAGCAAGGAAACTGAGTTGCTGCAATCATAATAAATAAGATGTGAGTGGTTTACGGCGACTCTTGACCGGGAAAAACCATGATGTGCACGTAGCACAGTTTACTGAAACAAGGCACGGAATCTCTTCGAGCCGATCTGAGGCCGGGACGAAAAGTGATCTCGACGCTGCCGTTTTGTTCATAACGGCATTATACCCCTCTGGGGTCTGGGCGTCAGTCCTGTCTTGGCTACCGTCTGGGCCGCTTCCCAGAGCTTTGACTGCGACCGTTTACGCTCGATGTTGTCGTAAGTGACCCATTTTTCATCGTTAGTCGCAATGAACTTCAGAAAGGGGTTGATTTTGTTGCGATTCAGCATAAAAATTCGGTCCACCACGTTTTTTGCGTCAGTTCGTGTAGCACCCAAACATCGAGCCTCTTTTTGAATCCAAGGTTATGCAAATGGTTCCAAACGGTTTTCTGGCTTATCTTTAGTTCTTCAACAGTTAAAAACACGTGATGGCCTGTTTCCACTACTTCCATGATTTTATCGCAATTTCGACGAGAGGCCTCCCGACGCGTGGTGCATCTTTGACATCGAAATTACCGGAACGGAACCTAGCAAACCGCTTTTATGCAACTCGTTCGCTTACAGTATCGGGCTCATAAAGTAAATTAATTTTTTCAGTCGCTTTGGCTGCTTCTTCGCCTTGATCGAAGAAAAGTTGTACAATATAGCGAATTTTCTCTCCGCTGCTGTCCATCTTTGACGAGCGCTCACAAAGTACTGAGTCAATCAATCGAAAAACTCTCAAAAACAAACTTTTAGCGCGAATAGACACATTTTCAGCGCCGTATATTATGACATGATGCGACACGTAACACTAGTACTACGGACAATCACGCCATCTCTGAGATAAAAACCGAACGAACTTTTTACTTGACCTGATATTTTTTATTTCCATTATTAATCGCCCAGACAACGAACATAGAAACGCTTATCGAGTTTATTTAATGGCCAAAAACTAAAATTTATAACTCCATTTTACACACAGATCTACCAGGCCTCCGTACTGGCTGGATAATTGCCATAATAATATTTTTCATCATACTCATTGCATTGGTCATCTATCTATGTGTGCGTGTTATGCGCGAACGTAAGCGCCTGCGTGACTATAAAGCAGCTGGTTTGGCGAATTTCGAAGAAGGTGCCGTTGAACATATAAATCCGGCGTTGACACTGGACGAACAAGCCGACCTGTTGCCATATGATCGTTCATTTGAGTTTCCGCGTGACAAACTCAAGTTGGGCAAACAATTGGGCGCTGGCGCTTTTGGTGTGGTCTTAAAAGCACACGCCGAAGGCATACGACCCGACGAAAAGGAAACGGTGGTGGCGGTGAAAATGGTTAAACGCATTGCCGATAACGAGGTGATGCGTGCTTTGGTGACGGAATTGAAAATTCTAGTGCATCTCGGCCCCAATTTGAATGTGGTGAATCTTTTGGGTGCCGTTACGAAGAATATTGCGAAGCGTAAGTTTCAATCAAACATTCTATATACATACATATATATATATATATATTAATTTTTCCGCATTTAAAACAGGTGAGCTAATGGTTATTGTGGAGTATTGTCGTTACGGTAATCTACAGAACTTTTTGCTGCGCAATCGTGAACGTTTCATAAATCAAATAAATCCTGAAACCGATAAAATTGATCCAACAATTATAAAACAGCGATTTTCGGATAATTTCGAGTTGCGCGGGTAAGTTTATGATTTCTAAAAAAAACTTTATTTTGAAATATTTGTTTAATAATACGTAAATGCATGTGTTTAACGTTCTTGAAAGCCAATTGGAAAGTAAATTTTTAGTTACAAAAAATAAAATTAAATATTTTTTAGTATGTATGTCACTAACCCAAATGATCATGATTTCTGTTATATTATGGTACTTCGATAACGTCGAAATTTGTTCGAAAAAACATTTAAAATATGCGAAAGTTACTACAAATTTTAGCCATTTAAGCTAATTTTAATGCAGATTTAGGCACTTTTCGACATCAAATTCTTAGGAATTTGTTCTAATCTAAGCCGAATATTTATCTCACCAATAATATTGAACAATAAGTAAGGTCTTGTTTTTTGGAGATATGTGGTTTTGAAGAAGAAATAAAAAAATTCAAAAATCAATTCAACAGAAAAATGACCTGAAAAAGCATCTAGAACCTTTGCCGTGCGAATGAAATCTTCCAATAATAAAAAGGGCGTTGCCATAAAACCAACTACATCGAGCCAAATTTACAGCTACAGAATGTCCGAGCACTTGATCGTGGATATTTACCTACATAAAAAAAAAAAATTGAAAAAAACAACAATAAGTAAAGCGGCACACACATGTAGCTTAATGGGATAACCATTGGCTCGGGCTGTGGGCATCCCAAGTTCCAATCATATTCGAACAAAGGTGTCTGGAAAAAGCAGTCTGATGAGGAAACGTGGTGGTTTCCTATAACTTCTACCGTTCGAAACTATTGTTGCAATTTTTTCACTATTTCCAAAAAATATATGATAGATGGTCTGAAACAGTTCCATAAAAAAACCGCTAAAATGCAGATAATTTAACGTTATGGCCAAGAATTTAGGTTTAGTAGACAACCGACTTCACCAAAACCTATAAACTTTATCCAGCGATGTTAAAACTCACGATGTTGTAGGCCACGTCATAGGCAAATGATGCGTGGTAATGCGCTCACGAGAAGTCGCCTTTAATATATTGTTAATTTTATTGCTGTATGGCATGTAGCGCTGTCTTGCTGAAACCAAATATGGTCTCCATCTACATCCTCCAATTCATGCACGAAAGTCTTTTATAATGGCTCTATAGCCTTCTCCGTAGACTGAAACATTATCAGCTGTTTCATTTCATGAAGAAATATGAATCATAGATTCTCTCTGTGCGTAGAGCACACCAAACAGTGACTTTTCTATGATGTAATGAGTCTTCAACACTCGTGTTTTGCATCATCCGATTAGCTGATCCTGATGAATCGAAAAATGCTCCGCTAAATTATTGTACATTAATGGAAAGGAGAAGGCTGTAATCTTTGGAGTAAAAAACCAGAATCGCAGCGTTTAATGAATGTGTACCGTCTTTTCAAAAAATTGCTGAAATAACAGGGAGACATCGCTAAACCAATGACAATTTTTCTGCATAATATAGAGACCTACACCAAGAGGGCTTCAACTCCCATGATTCCTCCACCAAAATTGTAGAGAAAAGTGATGTAAAACCGAGCAAATCGATTATTCAAAGAGAATTAAAAGAGCTGTGAAGTTCTTTTAAAATAGAGAGAGACGACCCATTATTAATTTTTCTACGAAATATTCAAATTAAGAAATAAAATTGTTTAGTTAAGCTTTTTCTACAGAATGGACTGAAAATAACAGAACTATTGTTGTGGCGCTATCCTGATGACGCACAGTGTAATTATTATTGTCATCTTGTCGCCTGTATTTAATAAGTATATTGGTCTAGTAAAAAGTACTCCATTACAAGATCATAGTGGATGTTTCCTTGCAAATCCCACCAAACACTCAACAAAACATACCTGGCTTGCAGACAGTTTGTGACGGTTCACTGCCCTTCGCAAACGACTGTTTTCACTTGACATTGATGTAAGTAATCTACTTTTCATCACCAGTTACCATCTTCTTGAGAAAAAGGTTATGCAATTCGCAATTGGAAATTCGGTCTATGAAGTTTTTTTCTCGTTAACTTATTTGACATCCATAAATCGAGCTAGTTTGTGTGTCCAGACTTTTTTAAGTCGTAACAAACTGTTTTTTTTTTGTGCAATGCTTAGCTTCTGGGTAATCGAAACAGTGCTCGCATGGCAGTCAGGCTCAACAATTTCTATTATTTCTTCAACATTTTCGACAATTGGCCTTCCACAGGGTTCAGCTTTTTTCATCACACTTACCGGTATATTGTGTATGATTTATTGTTACAGTATCAGGACCAGAAACACTGTTAACTGTTCGGCTAAATGATTTGCGCTTTCGCCTTTAGCCGAAGAAAATTATAGATTATAGCATATTTCTTCTTTCAATGTGTCGATCTTTGACATGCGAACAAACACATCTGAGTTAAGTGCTCAGCACCTCTTCCATTCTCTTTTTTAGTCCAAAATATCATCTAGAGTAATCAAAATCGAACTTATAGGACGCGAGATAGAGTCCACTAAAGCCATCTATTGCAAAAATAATTGATTACTTTTTACTTTACCTATATGATACGTTGTTTTAATTAGAAATATATTCAAAATTATTAAGTATATACTTTTATATGGAGTGGTCTGCAATCAACTATACTAACCATACGAGTACATATACATATATACGTCACATGTGTATGTGGATAACAATATGCATGTTTATATTATTTAATCAAAAACATAAAATAATAATAATATTAATAATAATAATTGAAATAATATTAATAATTATAACAATAATAATAATAGTAATAATAATAATAAAAATAGTATCAATAAAAAATCAAAAATAATAATAATAGTAAAAATAATAGTAGTAATAATAATAATTTTAATAAATATAAAAATAATAATAATAATAGTATTAATAAAAAACAAAAATAATGATAATTAAAATAAATAAATTAAATAATAATATTTATAATAATTATAATAATATTAATAATAATAATTTTAATAAATATAATAATAATAAAAATAGTATTAATAAAAAACCAAAAATAATAATAATAGTGATAATAATAATTTTATTATATATAAAAATATTAATATTAATAATAGTATTAATAAAAAACCAAAAATAGTGATAATTTAAATAATAATAATAATTTTAATAAATATAATAATAATAATAAGAAAAATATTAGTAAAAATAACAATATTAATAATAATAATATTCATAATAATAATAATAAAATTAATACATGTATGTATGTATGTAATATATTCTATTATATACTAACGTTCAATTCGCACATTACTGTACATTTTTCCAACACTGTATTAAATAACACTTCTATTTGCTTATATCTATATGTGTTTAACCAAAAATTGTACGGTGTTGGCCATTATACTACTACCACTACTGTATTTACTACCTCCTACCGCATCCTACGAATGCTGCTTGCGTACTAACTCACAAATGGGAAATAATTAATAATATTGTACAACATTTATGGTGGTGCCTCATATCAACAAAAATTCCATACATATGTGCACTTGGATGTGTTGCCTTTGTTTTTGGTTTTTTTTTTTGCTTGTAACGTGAAACAGTGATGGAACAAAATATGTTAATTTCACATTTACAAATCATCATTATGTCAATCACATGAATAATATGAATAATAATTATACGGCGAATAATCGTAGAAACTCCGATAATGATCCACGCTCCGGCACACGACCAGGACGTCCGAATTCCAGCGGTTATTTACGGCAATCGGATTTGTATGAAGGCCAAATGGACAGCTGTGCAACGGAGCAAACTGTAATGACCACCATACCAGAGGGTGAGTAGCAACATTTTGATTTGCACATTTTTGCGTTTCATACACTTAATTTAACTTGATTTTTCATCCCAACGCCAGATGACGATCACATTCTGTCCAACAACTCAATACAGCCCGCTTGGCGTTCCAATTACAAACCTGACAGTACCGAGGCCATGACTATAACCACAACCGATTTGGTTAGTTACGCATTCCAAGTGGCGCGCGGCATGGACTATTTGTCGTCGCGCAAAGTGTTGCACGGTGATCTCGCCGCACGTAATATTCTACTCTGCGAGAATAATATAGTGAAGATTTGCGATTTCGGCTTGGCGCGTTCCATGTATAAGAGTGAGAATTACAAGAAACAAGGCGAGGCACCATTGCCCATTAAATGGTTGGCATTGGAATCATTTAGCGATCATATATTTAGCACCTACACCGATGTCTGGTCGTTCGGTATTGTTTTGTGGGAATTCTTCTCACTGGCAAAGGTGCCCTATCCGGGCATGGAACCCAATCAGAGTTTATATTTGAAAATCAAAGACGGTTATCGTATGGAGAAGCCACCATTTGCCAATGATGAGCTGTATGACATAATGTTGGAGTGTTGGAGTGCGAATCCAGAGAGCCGTCCACTATTTAACGTGTTGGAGAAATACTTTGCACGCATGCTGGGTGATGATGTGACAAATGTGAGTAGAAAAATTGTATCGTAAAACTTAGTGAACATGGCACTTTCTAACTGACACACACACATACACTGACGCAGTCTAAACCACAGATCGTAAAGATCTTCAAGTTAGAGGACGTGTTCTGCGACGTAGGCATCCGATAGGAAAGGATTTCCCTGGACCTAGAATGGAGCTCTTTGTGAAATCGAACTTGTTTTTAATTTGTGCGATTCACACTTGGTAACTCTCTGATTAATGGGAAATACTTTTTGAAATATAAATACTTCTTTGCTTAAGTCGATATGCCCGGAACTTTCATTTTATTTAATTACAATTGGTGCCTTGTAATCGCTGAATCGCGATTTTCGGCAGAGCTACTTCTGTAATTTGTAGTTTCCTAAGAAATTGAGAGAGAGACACAGAGTTTATTCTAAGACGCCTCCGAACGACCGATGGATTTTTATTTCATGTCAGAAATACACCCGGAAGGCTTGACATTCCCTGCCGAGGAGCGACCGCAATTAGAAAATTTAGTTTTCTAAGATATTGAATGTTAGTCGAACTAGAACTCGAACTCTGTTCTTCAGAATGGCACTACGCAATGCTAAGCGCTCAGCTATTGCGGCCGCCTAGATTAATATAAGGGAAAATATTTTTTTGGGAAGTGAACAAAGGGCATTTATGTTCTACAAATTGACCTTTGGTTCGACTTGCCTGATATTTGGTTTAAAAACATTTTAAACCTTTCAAAGTTTTCAAGTCATTCAAGCCGTAACGAGAATTTTCAGTTTTCTAACAAAAAAATTAGGTTGCTGTCTTTAATATAACTCCCATTACAGACAGTGCTCTAACGCCAGCACTCCTCCTAACCGCCGAAACACTACCCAAACTCGATTTTAGTGAGCGTTGAGTTCTCTCCTGATATGTCATCTACAGTTGTAAAACGACGGCCCGTTTGGGTTCTCTTTATTTTTGGAAATAGGGAAAGTCGAGTTTTGATGCTGGGGCTTCATTGACGTATTGTTTTTATCGCTGTGCAAGAGACAAGAACTGATTTTCCACGATTCTGGAGGTTTATTTAGAAATGCTTCACATAAATAACAGTAATTCATGAGCGCTATGCCATCCTGAGAGAACAGTGAGCATAATTTCCACGTTTGACTGCATTTCTCCACTCCTAACCAACTTCCCTTCGCCTTTGTTCAAAACCCGGCCTTTATAACTATTCGTTAATCGTTAATAACCATTTCAATGACTTTTAACCCGTTTTCATTGGTAATTTATGTGCTAGACCCTCCAGGTCGTTCGTCATTTTCATTCTTTGAAATTCGTATACCTAGTGCTTCACTCATAGCAAACTCACCTTTGCACTTTTTATTTACAATAATTCATCTCTTTTGTCGAAAATCGCCGAGTTCATAAAAGCACGTCTAACCTTAACGACCTTTAGGCTGTCACAGACATAGTCAACAACGAAAACCGCTGAACGTTTTATCGTAATTCAGTTGCACGTATAGGTTACGTTAAGTTGTGGTGGCAACCCTTCTATTGTATCGTTTACACTTAGACCTGAATAAGATCCATTGCTGATGCCACAAAAACTGTAAAGTAAAAACGGCTATATCTTGGGTTGTTCATCCAACAGCAGGGTCCGGAAACGCCGAAACGCCGAAACCTAGCCTAAAGCAGGAAAGTCGCATAGAGAAAGGGTAAATGTTTCCTTATTCTCATTTTCCTTTAACAGCTTCTGCAACATCTCGTCAATGTCAATGCCCTTTGTTTCTCTGCATGTCGTTCTATAAGATAGTAGCCTGTCCGGACTCCTGTTACTTTCTCTTCTTTTTAACCGCTGTACATATACCGTGATCTTTTCTGATCATATTTTGATCACGTTTGCCAGCATTTACAGCTGGTTGCAGTTTCGTTCGATCTGAACACGGCCTCTCTTCATATGTTAACTCCTTGAGAAGCAACTTGCTAGCAACAAAAGGCAAACCAATGCATTATTTATCGAGAAGAATCTTATTGGTCGTAGATTACTTAGCAAGTTCTTCCCTCGATTTCAATATGACCAGGAATCTACGTGAGATACTAATATTTTGATATTGTAGTCGACTAACTATCCAGACTTGAGCTCGCTCTGCATGCTCTCCCAGAACCAACGCTTCTAAGCCTCCTTACCTTCTGTTCCGAATCCCTCGCAGCAGCTCGTTTCCTGGATCTCCCGTTAGATGACCTAAATGACTTAGACTAATCTTATCTGCTCCTAAGCAGTGCTAGCGAGCCGCTACAACAACAACAAAAGCAGAAGGAATCTGTTTGACTCTTCATCAAGCCAGTGAATTACATATTTTTTGACATTTTTTTGAGCACATCTCCTATGTAAGGGAGGACGGGATACATTGGACTACCAAATTCCGCCACCGCCGATTCTGTAAAGCCTCTGAGCCTAACCGAAATAATTTTTTCAGGCTTCCGTAGCGTGAGTGAAGAGTTTCGCTTCAAGAAAACGCACAGCCACCCTTCCTTCTCCAGCAGTTTCGTTAGTTAGCCAACTAGTTGGGCGTGGCATATTATTAACGACCACATATTCGTAGCGTGATGTAATCAGTTTTTGTTTACATATATGTATATGTATATATATTTTTCTTCTTGTTAACATTTTTGAATATTCTTTAATTGTCTCTGCGATTATAGCACTACGTTGACTTGAATGACACATATTTACGCGCAAGCACCGACAACTCGAATCCCAAACAAACCGATTATCTATCGTTAATGGGTTCACCCGATGAATTAGCGCCACCGCCACCGCGCTATGTCAACGGACATATATTACCGGAAATACGTAAGTATAACGATTTAAGAGCCTTCACAGCTGCAAAAACTTTTTAAAATATATTATATGTATTTGTATATTTGTCACTTAATATGTATGTATGTATGTGCAGTGCATACATTTAATTCTAAATATTTCACAATGTGTCTAGCTTTTGACTAACAAATCTTTCATTTTTCTATGTTCTATTTTAAATCTCCATCCATCTATGTCACATACATATATATGTATTTCCATCTGTCTACGGTTTCATGCAACTAACACACTACACTACCACTACGTCTTGCTTCCTCCATGCGTTTTACGCGTTTCGTGCGTTTCGTGCGTTTGTCCCATCCATAACGTTCACCCAGGTATACAGCCATCCTCATCTGATGACTATTTGAATTTGAGCATCGATACTGGCACGACCATTTTCTCACCGACACGTCCAAAAGATTATGATTATACAAATGCTGATACAAATACAACACCAACTACTACTTCTTTCACCTTCCCAGATAATATAGCACCCGCAGCACCGACATCGACGTCAACACAACATTCCCCGACATTAACAAATAATCTCGATAGTCCAATGAATAAGAATCGCAAGAAGGATGTTATACGACCGGAGGAGATACCTATGTTGACGGGCACACATCATAGTAATACTTCAGATGTTGAAGAGAGTCCGGAGCAAGAACGTAAGTTTGCTAAAAATGTATTACAACAACAAATACGCGCCATACCGACACCATCGCCGCGACATCACATAGCCGAAACGGAGCTGAGCAGCAACGATAACTATGTGAATGTTAAATCGCCAAAAAAGTTAAATAATAACGGCGCGAGATCGGCTGAAGCATTTTCAAATCCAAGTTATCAAATACTAAAGACTGGTTCAAAAGAAGTGGGTGATAAGTGAGGCGCGTTGGCAAAGAGCGAATTGTATTTATGTATTTAGTTTAATGTGTAAGTTTTTCATGCTCATCGGACAAATTTCGCCATGGTTCACTCGCAGTCGAATTGAAGTCGACTCTAAAATTAATCGTCACATTTTGAGGTTATATTATGTTTACATATGTGAAAGGAATGAAGGAGGTTTAAAAAAAAAACCTAATATGATTTATTAGTTTCAAAAATATATGAAAAATTATTTATATTCGTAATATTAATGACGCCCATAAAAAGAATATAATGATACATTTCAGCAAAATTAAGTTGAAAACTTAAGAAATATAAAGAAATGAAGAGTGTGTGATATTCTTTACAACGGTTAAATGTACGAGCTTGCATTCGTCGTATAAATTTCACGAATTACTCAAGCTTGTTCGCATTAGAGTTTCGTCTCGCTTTGCGTCAGAGTTGTGCTTTGACAGATTTATAAGTGCTATATCCAGTTCTTGAGTTCATTGTCAAGTAAACAATGGTATGTAAATACTTAAGAAAAAATTGTAGTAGAATTGTACTTTTGTTTTGGTGGAAAATAACAATGTAAATTTTAATTTGTGGAGGAAAGTATTTAAAATATCTGCAATATGTATACAAAGGGGTACTTCAATATTATCCATATGTATATTTATATTACTATGAAGGCTACCTACCAGGTTCTAAGTTCTGAGCCTTCACCTCAGTCACTAGTTTGCACTTTTGCTCCGCGGAAAAATTAGTGGCGCCCTTTTGGCGTTTTAAATTTTTTCTTCGAAACTCGGTGAACTCCATTTCTGAAAAAACGTTACTTAAGAAAACAATTATTTACATATAATTGGCACTTTGTAACCGCTGTTGCGATGTACCGCCGAGCTCCTTCTCCAATTTGTGCTTTTGCGTCTTGATGTTTTTCCAACAAATGAAGGGACCTACAGTTTATACTAAGACGCCTCCGAACGGCTGGTGGTTTTTTTAAAAGGAGCAAGTATTTCATGCCAGAAATACAGTCGGAGGGGTTAATTTTCTATAACTTTTGAATGTTGATCGCACGAGGATTTGAACCCGTGCCTTCCGAATGGCAGTACGCCATACTAACCACTCGGCCACCAAATTTTTACATGCATATGTAGATATTTTGACAAGTTCGCACGGGCTTCCACATTAATTTTCCTATGATAAATAGTTAAAATAACCCAACAACCTATTTCATATTAGTAAAACTCAATTTAGATTCTAAACAGCAGAAATACAAAATATCGTGTAATATGTTTAGAAATATTGAGGCTTTCATTATGGCTTACCCTGAGAGTTTCATCTGTCAAAGGAGGCGAAGTATGTATGTAAATCAGAAATGTGAATCAGGTCTGAAGCCAATGGCAGATAGAGTTTCTGCGCCGCTTTACCTGACAGTTGAATATAAGCAACTCTATGAAGCAACGCTAACGCTAACGCAACGCCAATGTTAATTCACACAAGGCAAAAGTAAGAATATAAAAACGAAACCTCCGGTACAAAATGTCCTAAATTCGGCCAATATTGCAGTTTTAGTTTCCACATTTCTCTTGTATAAGTATTTTGTTTATGTAATTTGGCGAAAGGACGATAAAATTGGTAACACAGCTTCAGAGAGTCAGACAAAAGAGAGAATGAAATGTAAACTACACGACAGTTAATTCATCTTGAATTTAGTATTTTAACATATATATATATATATATATATATATATATGTAAGTAGTTACACAAGAATTTCTACAGGCAACGCAACTGTTTTCGCTTTGGTGCGCTTTCTGCTTATTTTTCTTTGCTTATGCCATAACATTCGGCATGGCCAAAACTCGCTTTTGCCGCCATTGGAACGGCCCATTGTAATGATTTCCCCTTAGTAAGAACAAGCAAACATATTACGGGGCAACTTCAGCTACTGTAAACTCGCCTTTATTATGTCATAGCATTGGCGTTTCACGTTTTGCTGACAAAGTTGGAAATGTCACGCAACGCAGTAGAATAGTATTCGTAAATCTCTTTAATAATGCTTTGAGTTCACAGCTCACAGCTGCTTCGTGGCTTTATGCAGGTTTTAAACGGTTAATTTTGGCGACCGATAAGAGAAATTGACAAATAAGGAAGCAAAATAAGAGGGAAGTTAAGTTACTTTATAACCTCTACAATGCTGTAGGTAATTATTTTTGTAGGTTAGGTCATGTAAGCAAAAAATTTAAATAACTTATTTGACCCAACCAAGCGGCTGTAATACATATAGTTGTAAAAAATACATATGTATGATTGTGAAAACATTCTCTTTGTTTCAATATATAATCCGATGCCACCAACATCCCAAAGTTGTAGAAAATTAATTTGAACAAAATAATTAAGTTAAATTTTCTAATTGCGGTCTACCCTCGGCAGCAAATGTCCACCCCTCCGAGTGTATTTCGGACATGAAATAATGGCTCCTCATAAAAAAAAAACCATCAGCCGTTCGGAGGCGTCTTAGTATAAACTGCAGATCCCTTCATTTGTTGGAAAAACATCAAGACACAAAACTACAAATTGGAAAAGGATCTCGGCCGAGAATCGCTTCTGCGGTAACAAAGCGCTAAATATATACATATGTAATAAAAGCTTTGGGATTTTCTTCATTTTATATTTCTTAAGTCACTAAATTTGATAAGCAAAAAAATTATTTCTGAATATTCTTTTCTTATTTTGAGACAAAATTATTTATGTAAACCGAATCCACTCTATCATTGCATGAAAATAGTACGATTTTAAGTCGATTATGCTGAGACAACGCAACGCATTTTTTGTGGTCAAAATAAATGCAAATTAATAAATAAAGCATTTAAAGTAAATTGAAATCTGCGTAATGCATTTATTAAGAATTTTTTGATTGAAAAATTACCATTTCCGAAAGTATTTTCACTTTATTTTTCATTAAATCAAATCATTTCACTCGCAATTACTACTTCTTTTCCAATTTAATTAAGAAAAAAATTGTTTATAAAACGAAATCAAAACTTCTTGAACTGAAAAGCATTAAATGTAATATCGGTGTAAACCGTTAAGTTAATAATGATTGTACATATGTATTTGTATAGCTTTTGAGTAAACTACTTTTTTAACTAGGAAAATAATATAAATGTAAATGCGATAACTATATTAACGTTTAAGTGATTACATATTTACGCTACAAGAACGCATACTTCCCTTTCTCTACTCAATAAACATACATACATTAATATAATAACTATTATAGTATAGTATAGTATATGTAAGTTTTAATATTTAGCACTAATTTAATTGTATATACATTCATATTTATATATCTATATATTTACTACAACTGCTTCTAAATAAATTTAAACATATAAAAAGAAGAAGAAGAAATGGAAGAGAACTTTTTCATTGTGCTATATGTAAACTTAGTTTTATTGAAATGAAATTTAATTTTATGTATGTATGTGTGTATGTTTATATACTACTTCAATGCCTTAAATATTTTATTTACATAAGTACATAATAAAGAGTAACGTTATACTGAAAAATAATGTCTTTTAAGGAATGGTTTGGGTCCTAAAGTACTTTATGGAACAAATTTATAGTTTAGTGATTTTTTTTATTTTTCAATCAAATCTCGCACAAGTGAAATACACTTTTCATGTCGTGCGTACAATGCCTTATTATCATTAAAAAAAATTTTCCATTTTTATTTAAAATGGTTTTGACCGCTTTCAACTCACTGTCAACTGAAAATATTCGTCCCTTAACTTCTTTTATAAATTTAAATTCAATTCCTGCTTTTAAGACATCCCTCGCAACCAGAGCGATGTGAACGCGCTAACTTGCCACGTCTCTTTTGTACGCCTGCCTCATGCGCCTGGCTCAGCAAACGACCGCAATACGAACCGTTAATTGTAGTTCTAGTAATTAATTAATAATATTTTCACGCTCTCCCAGAAAATGATAGCCATAATCTTCGGCGCCAACTATTCAACTTTAAATTTTTTTGGTGGCCTTTCCACTGCATCGAGTCCTGTTTGGACTCGGAATCCAAGTTTCGTCTACTATTACAAAGCAAATTTCATACAAATCATCTCAACGCAACTTCAAAAAATCTTTCTCTCCAATCCTCGCTGCTTTTTGAGTTGCGTAAGCATTCGCGGTAACCAAATGTTCAGCAAAATCTCTCCAGATTATTCTCTGCTAATCTGTAAGCCATCTGCTATTTGCCACGATTTAAATCTTCGATCAGCCAGTACTAATTTCTCGACTTTCTGAACACTTTCCGAGCAAAAGCGCCTCGATAAATGACGTTGCTTTGCTTGTGCTTGTATAGCTTTATCCATTTCGTGGATTCAGAAGAACATGGCTGTATTTCGACATCTGTCAAACTTAACTGCCAAACCAAATAAGTTTTATTTTAGTTGAAAGAGACGCATTTATGGAAATGGATCACTTAACAACCGTATAACGCGTTACTATTGTCAAAACCCTCTGTATAAATTTTGATTCAAACGTGGCTACGTTTTGTGCTTTAAGAGCAGATTATGCTGCACATAAGCGTCCAATTGGAAAGATTTTAATTAAATTTGAAAAGACTGAATTGGGTTTGCTCGTTCCACCCTCACACCTCAGGCCCGAATGTTCTCGATATTCTCAAAAGTTTGAACTCTCTTATGGCACATTATGGCGTATTTTGCGCTTGGACTTACACCTACATTCATTTAAAGTCCAGCTAACACAACAACTGAAGCCCGCTGACCATTTAAAATTTTTGGAAAATTGTATTTTTAAAATAAAATTTTCATCATACACTCAAAAAAACCTTACTGTCTAGTGCGTTATTTGGTCCTGAGATGTGATTGGACAACGACAACGGCGACACTGTCAATTCGGAGCGTTACGGTCGTATGACAACTGACTGTTCGTGAACTGCTGTGGAAGAACACGACTTGGATTAAATGTAATTTCAACACGAGCGAATATGACTTTATTGCATGATAAATTTCTCTTATATCTTAATCTTTCGTCGTGACACTTGACACCGATGGACTTTAATGTGGGGACCGATGGACTTTAAAGACCGTATGCGGATAAACGAGCCATTGAAAATCGACATTCGCCTAGTTATGGCTGAGATACTGTCCAAAATGTACCAGATGTGGTCAAAAATTATCTCAAAAGAATCGAAGTTTGTCAAAATTCACTAGCCGGTCGTTTGAATGATATAGTGCGTCACTTATAATTTTACTTATAATAAAAATGGATAACCCTGTACCTTTTAATAGATCGACTGTAGTACTCATTACAGCTCAAGAATGATGTATTATATTGTAGATGTCGCCTTTATATTTGGTTGTTGCTTGTGTTAGTATTTCTGTATATTTTCATTAATATTTATTTATTTTTTGTTGGTGAGGCTTTTATAATAGTTCAACCCAGTGAGCTGATAGGCAGTAACAATTGTAACCGATTTTTAAAGAGCCGCGTACGGAGATCCAAAAAGCAAAAAAAAAAAACTGCAGCGAAAAGCTGATTAATTCTTACTGACATTTCTCACCGAACAGTTTTAGTATATCTCTAACTCCATTAATATATCTGTAGCACCTTTTAAACTATTTTGAATGGTTTATCGATTAGGCTTTATATAAAATCTGTGGCAATTAGTAGAATGAACTATGAAGAATGAGTCGAAAGCGTGATTAAAGCGAAGCAGCAAGTGACAGCTGTATACAGCTTTTATCGAGCCCAGTTAAAGGACAATTCAATGCAGTCAATTAGATTATCTGCGCTTACCTATTTTCAAAGAAATTGATTTTGATAGTATTATTTCAAGGTCACAAATATATTAAGCTTTCATCTCAAGTAATAGAGTTTTAAACTAATTAGATGAGTTTATGTTATACTCGCTGGCTCTTACGTCTTATTTAGACATGTCGGTCGTTTGTTGTGCCAGATGGACTTTTAGTTATTTTGTTCCAGTGTGCGGAAGTAAAAAGTGAGTGTGCTTCCCTTCTGATCTTGGCGGTCTCATGCCGTTACGGTTTTAGCAATGTCATTGTACAGAAACTTTAGCGTCTTTCGTATTACGGGTATTCGTTCAATCACCAGTCTTGTGCGTTGGAAGCTAATACACTTATGTATGTATATGCGGTTGCTTACCTGCAGTCTGCTTAATTTTAGTGAGTAATTACATTACTCAGTTTTATAAAGATGTATGATGATAAGTTTTACCAACTTAGTTGAAATGTATGCAGTTATTCACAAAATTTGATGTTTCCCATAAATTTGACACTTGATTTATAAATTTACTTCCACTAACTGGCGGAAAAGCGTCAAACTTTAGCAGATAACCATATTTCCCGAATAGACTTCCTGTTAAGTGTTGTAAAACGCCCAAAAGTAAAGTTCCAAATAAATGTCAATAAATTATACAAATTTACACTACACTTATACACTATACATTCACCAAACTCTAATGCCAAAGGAGTAAAAATTCATCAATCTAAATTTAATTTTATAAAACTCCGTCCAACATTCTTTCAATTTCCCATTTTTGCAACACTGCGCAAAATCAGCTGTATCTCATATCAAAAACAGCTGAAATTATATGAAAACGAATTGTCAAAACGTGATTTGTATCTATCATTTCCAATTGAAATCCGAGTTCAAAATCGTAAATTAGTTTGAAAGAAATTGAGTTTTTAACGTATGAAATTCAATATTCTTGTGTGGAGTTTAGAGGAAATAATTATATAGAAAAGAAATAAACGTAGAAGCTGAAAGCCATAATTTCCATCCAAATTAGGCATGTCACACGCCACATCGCAGGTAAGGCTCCATTGTGACGCAATACAAAGCAAAAGAAAAGCAAGAAAATGTTTTGTCCACCGAAGGAAAAGAAAATTAGAACAGCTTTTCAAAACCAAACGAATAAAAATTTGTTCAGCCTACTAAGTTGATTAATTTAATAGTGTCGAGTATTTTTCGTGTTTGCTGGAAATATTGTTATAAACATTTCTTTTGTATTCAGGGGCCTCAATTACTGCATGGCTTTAAGTGTTTAACACGCTTTGAAAAAGGAATTGGTGCACAGCTACCGGAAGCTTATAAAAAGTTCTGGCGTGAATGGAAGCAAACAACGCCAGCTGCTGTGCACTATGTGCCAAAGACAGAACCATTTGAACGCGATGAAGTTACTGGAGTAATAAGACCTGTGCAAAATGTACCCCTACCATTAATTGATACCCCTGAATCGAACGAAGGCATTTGGGGCGGAGAGGCCGTTATTAAAGGATTCCAAAAGCGCCATCCACAGAAAAGACGTGTACCACATTTTTGGGTACCAACACTACGCCGCTCCGTGGTGCATAGCCAAGTGTTGAACGAGTACATTTCAATGGTGGTGACTGATCGCACTATCGATCAAATACATGATTGTCATGGCTTCGATCACTATCTACTGAAGGTGCGTAAAATTATAATTCAAGGAAAACATACGTTCTTATGTTATGCATTATTTTACTGTTTTTTTGTTTTGTTTTAGAATCTTGCTTGCGATTTACGTTCCACACTGGCACTCAAGTTGAAACGCCAAATTCTGCTCCAACTGAAGAATGGTTGCCCAAATTTGGCAGATAATCCAACTGAAAGGGCCCGTGTGCTTAAAGAATTCAAATGCTACTTGGAGTCATATACGCCAGAGGAAATTGAATGGTATGGACACACTTACGAAGAGGCCATACGCAAATTGCAAGCTCAAATTCGTGCTGAAAATCCTATTATACCACATAAAGTCGAGTTTCGCATTAAATTAGTGGAGCAATTGAGAAATGCCGGTATTAGTGAAGCAGGTGGCAGTCATATCGGCGACAAAGCAGCTAAGAGCAGCGATAACGATAATGCTGAAATCGAACGTCTAACTAAACTGTAAGTAAATTCCGCGTCGATTAATTGGATAAAGATATAAAAATGATGAAACAATATACATAATTGTCTTTTATACCACAGTGAAGCGCCATCCTCTTCTACATCAAGTTGGCTGTCGAAAATAAACCCATTTGGCAAAAAACAGGAAACTTAAAAGACCGTGTATTTAATATTTAAATAATTGTTTTAACAAAAAAAAAAATTATTTCATTTATCAAACTTAAAATAATAGTTCGGTATCAATATATGTATGTGTTAGTTTCAACCATCTAAACTTTTCACAAACGAGTTACTACTACCATTTCTAAAATAGTATTGCAAATGTGAATATTTACCTCGTTAATACTTATAAAATATGTGCCGGAATAGCACATTTGCAGTGCAATTTATGTTAAATGCAAATAATAGCTCGAAATCCCAGAGTGAAATAAAACTGACCAAATAGAAAAAAAAAATTGATTGTTTTAGTGCTGTTTTCTTAAATGAGAAAAAAAAGGTTTTTATGGCAAGTACATGACGCGAACTCAAGCTTCAAATAAAAAAGTCTGAATAGGAAATGTCGTAGCATCACATTGAGCTTTAAGTACAGTTACATTTTTTTTATAAAAAATATTAACTTCTTTGGAGGTTTAAACGAATTTTTTAGAGCTCAGCGTTTATCTTCCAAGTTATCTACGTACATATATGCACACATATACAATGCGATATTGTCTGAATTATAGCAGTTAAGGCAGAAGCATGTTCGAAAACTATTCTTTTCGATACGATTAAATACTTCACAACGTGGTATAAAATTTATACATAAAGCACATTTATTACATACATAATACAATTCATTTGATTTGGAATGCAAATCGTATAAAATATTAATAAATACAACAATAAAGATATTACGTATTATACAAAAGTACGTACAATATGTTCATCATACAAACAAAAATAATTAACCAAAATACGATATTGACATGTGCAGCTACTACATAAATGAATATGCATGTAAAAATTGTATCAAAATTAAATATTTAAATTTAATATTGCATTGAAATGCGCGATCCGCCGTCTAAACTCTATTTGTGCTTTCTATAAAAAAGAAAAGATTGTACTCTCGCCAAAGTCACAAATATAAAAATCACACATATTTTTATTTCAAATCTCGCTTTTTTCAAGCTATTGGATTCCTTTTCATCAGTTCAATATCGGATTCCATCATATCTTTAATCAACTCTTTGAATGTAACCTTGGGTGTCCAATTTAGTTCGCGACGCGCTTTACTTGAATCCCCTAGCAGCAAATCGACTTCTGTTGGACGGAAATACTTTGGATTAATACGTACGCGTACTATGTCGGTTCCCTTTTCAATGCCCACTTCGTTGACACCCTCACCCTGCCATACAATTTCGCGGCCTATAAATTTAAATGCCTCCTCCACGAATTCACGCACACTGTGCGTTTCACCGGTGGCAATAACAAAATCGGACGGCTTCTCACATTGCAACATCATCCACATGGCTTCCACATAATCCATGGCATGACCCCAATCACGTTTCGAATCCAAATTGCCTAACTCAAAGGATTCCAACTGTTGATGATAGATTTTCGCAACTGAACGGGTAATTTTGCGAGTCACGAAATTTTCGCCACGACGTGGTGACTCATGATTGAAAAGTATACCATTACAGGCGTACATATTATACGCTTCACGATAGTTGATAACAATCCAAAATCCATACATTTTAGCGCAAGCTAATGGGAATAATTATGAAAAATTGTAATAGCTTTTAGTATAATATATAGAATCGTAAAAAAGTTTATGTTTTACTTACCGTAAGGCGAACGTGGATAAAAAGGTGTTTTCTCATTTTGTGGCGTCTCCACCACTTTGCCGTACAATTCCGATGTGGAGGCTTGATAGAAACGTACAGTTTTCTCCATACCACACGTACGTACGGCATCCAGGATGCGTAGCGTGCCTACCGCATCCACTTCGGCAGTGTACTCACTCAAATCGAAGGAGACTTTCACATGTGATTGCGCTGCTAAATTGTAGATTTCTGTTGGTTTCACCATACTTATAATTTTCACCAAGCTGCTACTGTCTGTCATGTCACCGTAGTGTAGTTTCATTTTGCCTCCTTGATGTGCCACCGGGTTGGCATAAAGATGTTCAATGCGTGAGGTATTAAAAGTACTGGCACGGCGTATAATGCCATGAACTTCATAGTTCTTCTTTAAGAGTAACTCTGCCAAATATGAGCCATCCTTTGAAGAATATGTGGTAAAAAAGTAAAAAAATTAAATAGAAAAAAATGCTAAAATTTTAATTATACATATGTATGTATATCTGCTACGAGTGCTGTTTAACCGAATTCAATATTGTTTATTCAGCTTGTACCACAAAATGTAGGTACTTTCTTTGAAAAATTTATTTACATAAACTCAGACGACAAATGAACGTATCTATATTCTACGGCTTTCATAAAAATTTGTCTCTACATACATTTTTATTAGAAATTAAATTATCAATAGAAAACCATTTTTAACAATTTTAGTATAATTGTAAACAAATACGCCCGGGCTATATATGCGCGTGATTTACTGTGTTAATACTAATAAATCAATTTACAACTACAAAATAAACTTGTTGAGATAAAATATATGAATAATACATAATTATTAATATTTGTTGTAACCATTTTAACGTTTACATATACATATACCTATGTATCTTACTGAATTTTAATATGTTTTTATCTGCAACCCATGTATGTATGTGCATATGTACATACGCACATTAGCTTAATGATATTTACGACTTGTCAAAAGGCAATTAAAATTTGGAAATTCATCGATTTGGCCACGAATAATAACTGTTATTCAGAAATTTTTGTTACTTAAAAATTCATAAAGCATTTGCTCACCTGCCCAGTAATGCCGGTAATTAAAGCGATCTTCCGGGTGTCACCGCCTCCGTTTGTTTCTACTTTAAGTAATTCATTTGCCTGTTGTGAGCCACTTGCTTCACTATTTAATGACATTTTATTTTATTTAACACTAAATTCACTTTAAATATGCAAATAAGTAGTTAAACCAAATCGATGTACTTTTATTTATGGCAGAAACAACGTACAATTTGATTTATTTATTAACGTCAACTGTGGAAAAAACGTTCAGCGGATTTCGTGGAAGTCACAAAAACAAAAATTTCATGATAAGAAATGTAGTTGCCACAATTTGATAACACTTTAGGCATATTCATCATAACGTAATCAACGTAATTTCAAAATTTCAAACAGAAATTGTTAAGAAAAAAGTAGTGTAAATACACTTTGAGTCAAACTTTGGAAAAAAATATAAATGAAAACTCAGAAGCAGTTAATATTTAATAACTGGATATTTAAATATGTAAAACAAATTTCCAAAAAATATTAGTACAGTTATAAACGTATGCTGCAAACATTACGACAACAAAAGTTCATTTCATGCTGAAAATCTATTACATACAAGTGCATCTTCGTCGTCACTTTGGGTAATTAAGCTTATTAGTTTAAATGCAGTAGATTAGCAGTTTTGTGAAAACTTGCAACTCTAATTCATTTCTATAAAATTGCCATACTTTTTCAATTCAAATGTCAAACAAAGTTTTAACGAATGTCAAAATACGTGTCAATGGGCCTATTGGGATGGTTATCGGACTTTGTGTTATCTAAATGTAATTGATTTATAAAAGAAAAATTAATTTTGCCCATGAGATTAGTTAAAATAAATTAAAACCAACAGCTAAAGCGCAAAGCAGCCACTCAACGAACTTAATCTAATATACATTTGTATACATTTGTCACGGTGCAAATATTTTTAATACAACGAAAACAAAATGACTGAAGCCCTAAGACCAATATTAAAATATTTTCTTTCTGAAGATTGTATAGACACGTATTTGGTTGATCATGACTTTACCGATGGTAAGTGTATTTAACAATTGGGTTTACATTTAAATGTTTTGGGTAAAGTCTATGCTTTCTTTCATCTTTAGGTGCTTGCTTCAAATCACTTTTAAGCAAATGTCTTGGTTACGCCATTATTGCCGGTTCAATTTTGGTAAAAATCCCCCAAGTACTTAAATTGCTAAAGAACAAATCCGGCGAGGGTATCAATCTGATAAGTGTACTTTTGGATTTAACAGCTATAACATCTCATATGTCATACAACTATGTAAAAGGCTATCCGTTCAGTGCATGGGGTGATAATACATTTTTGGCTCTACAAACTGCCGCCATTGGTGCATTGGTGTTATTTTATGGCGGCTCTAGAGCTTTGTCTCTGATCTTTTGCTTAATTTATGGACTCGTCGTATACATACTCAATAGTGGCCTAACGCCAATCAATGTACTGCTCGTGGCCCAAGCGTTTAATATACCAATACTACTTTTGGGCAAACTCTCACAAGCATGGACAAATTACAAAAATAGTTCAACGGGTCAATTATCGGCTGCAACAGTATTTTTATTATTTGCTGGTTCGTTAGCCCGTATTTTCACTTCCACTCAAGAAACTGGAGATTTTATGATAATTGCAACATTCTGTGCTTCAACATTTGCCAATGGTGTAATCGTCGCTCAAATGATATACTATTGGAACAAACCCGGTAAGGGTAAAAAGCCTAAGGCTGGAAAGGCTGCCGCAAAACCCGTTGCTGCATCAAAGAAGACAAAAAGCAAAAAAATCGACTAAACGATTGGACTAAGAATGTTAAGGCGCAATATCCTTGTTTAAGAGGACGCCTGCTGTGTACTCAATGAGAATGCTTTAGATACATAAATAAATAGAGCATAAAATACTAAACAAAAACTATGCAAACAAGAGATAGTTAATAATGTACATTATGTTTGTAATGTAATAAAAAGAAATAAAATATAATGTTTACCTGCTAGGTAACAATGGATTTGTGTACATTTTATATGATTTGAAGTTATCAGGGTAGTGTATTAAAAAAAAATTATAATTAAACGCTTATCCCCTACGATCTCGAAGTTAGAAGAAAATTACACATTTCATAAGATAAAGAGACTTTATTTCCTCTTTTAATTACAACTCAAGTTTTTATTTTTCAGCAATAAAATATTCTTGCATTGCAGCTAATGCACGATAACGATGTGATATTTTATTTTTCTCTTCCTTTGGCATTTCTGCATAGGTTAATTGGTAGCCCTTAGGTTCGAAAACTGGATCCCAACCAAAATCACGACAACCTCTTGGTTCCACAATACTACCTTCAGTTACACCTTGAAAAACTATTGGTTCGCTGTTGGCGTTCTCAGCAAAACTTAGCGTGCATATTGCTTTCGCACTTTTATCCTCCCATCCCGCTAACATACGGTACAAACCTTCGGGTTGTAGTTTTTCGAGAAACCATTTAATGTAGGGCCCTACGATTTAATATGATTAAAAATTCAATCCTGAAGAATATAACATGTTTACCTGGTAATCCATCAAGTGCGTTGAAACACAAACACGTATCCTCAACTAGTACAGGGCCATCCACTTGCCTAGCCGCTTCCTTACATTTCTTGATAGCAATGTCATCGATTTCACCTTGCAATTCTGGTAGATCAATTTTCCTGCTTACCACCTTACGCGGAAACTTATCTCCTAATATCGCAACAAGTTCTTCCAACTTTTTTGCATTACCGGTGACAAAAGTTATAGGTTTGGACATTTTGGTTGTAAGTTTTGAAATGAATATCTTAAATATATTGTAAAATATATTTAATGCTTAAAAAAGACAACGTGATAATCTAAACCGAAATTTGGACATGCCAAACCTCAAAATAAAAAAAACAAACGTGATAAACAAATCGCCACACAGAGCCGTAGCAAAAATAAACTGTCAAAGGGGCCGCTCTATCACTTATCAATGCCCTCTGTGCTACTGCATCTTAAATTATATACAAACATAGGTATTTTTGCATTTCCCATTCTTAGAAAATAAAAATTGTAAGGATTCAGAATTCTTAGCCTCAGTTGACCGAATTTCAAACATTGCATTATTCCAAGTATTTACATAGAACCTAATCCCTAACTTAATTGTATCAGAAAAGAAAAAAACAATTAAACTTCATCGAATAAGTTCGTTTACTGTTATCTTCCAAATAATCGAAAAGGCTTGTTTAATTAAATTTTATGGTCTTTTTGGACAAATCACTACAATCTTTTAATTAAGCAGTATAAGATGCAGATATAATCAATATGTTCATATTTATGAATTTGGATTAAGCCTATTCACCCAACTGTTTATATAAAATTGGTACATAATCATCAAACTCTGCTTGATACAAATTGCCAGCGACGGGATCGCCAAGATTGTATTTTTTGGCAAATGCGGCAATCTTGAAACCTCCACGGTCATTACCACTGTTATTAGGCAAACGTTTCTCATCGAAAGTTAATTTTCCGCTTTGCTTGTAAACTAAGAAAACGTAGCGATGTAAGCCAGTACCCGGTGGTGGGCCGGAACCAATGTAAGCTGATAAGACCTAAAGATAATAGATAATGTATTTAATGAATAGCCCTTGAATCATAAGTAAAATTTCTATATATTTGTATGTTTGACTTACTTCTCCCTTGGAGACATCACAGCCAGGAATATTTCCAACTAACCAATGGTGCCATTCGCGAAAAGTGGGCTCTTTACGACTAGGTGCGTCAGGATCTGTCATACACAAAGTATAAAAGGCATTGGGATCCGCCTTCCAGGTAACGGTAGGTTGGTCCTTTACCAAAGTTGGCGTTAGTACATTTCCCTGTTCAACGGCAGCACCACTTGGATAGCAAACAGTTACTATTTCTTGTGGAACACAAGAAATCACATCAGGCACGACACAGTGTTCCTCCATGGCTAATTTTTTCGCTGAATATTTGCGAACTGATCCCTTCACGAACGAATTTTCTAGTTGATATGGAGGAATGTGTTGATTTTTGACAGTTGCCGGTTGAAAGCTGGCTGTCAAAAATGTACGTAAAATGACATTTTCCTGCCGGGGGGTAAGGTGACGAAGGGATGGAATGCCCAAATTCCTACCTTGATTGATAATACGATTGAGGAGCATTTCAAAAGACTGAACTCAAATTTTCCGAGTTTGCGATAATTGTTAGTTTTTATACGCCGAGAGTAATAAAAGATAAAAGAATTGCATAAGAGAAACACAAATAAAATGCGAAGTGAAGAATACGGCAATAACACTGCTGCATAGAGATGCCATATTCTTACGTACCGTAATTCGTTTCGATCTTAGGTATTACAGGGCTCAACTCATTATTATGGGTCTTCATAAAATAATGAAAGGATAGCTCCGTCTTCAAGTTTTCAAATATGTATAATATTATATATTTAATAAATATATAAATAAGTTAATAATTTTAGAGAGAATATTTGTTTAATACTTATTTGCCACAAGGAATTCAATGTTCTATTGGGTTTTATGTTGATAACTGTGCCAGCCTTGATTAGTATTTTTGTTATTGTAAAAGTGTCTTCATTTCGCAAGGAATACGTAAAAATAATTAATTTGGTCGATGTCATACTTGGATGGCATAATTAAGTTTCCAAAGTATCCCTGCAAGAACGGCCTTATGGGCTTAACACTCACACGCCTTTTTTTATTGTTCTCTCCGTAGCAAATAGAAGTGAAAAATATATGATGAGGATTCGATTCTATTTAAGTACTTCATTTTTCATTGCATTTTACATTTTGTTTATTTTTACAACGTACTAGAATTCGGCTATTCGAGCAGGTTGTTTGGAATGAACCACGCAGCAGTAGCAGTTCTAAGGCTGCAACTACCCAACGCGCGTACCAGCCGTCCATAGTAACCTATCTTATGAGAGCGCCATGTAAACACAAAGTTGTCACCGATTTACCATAGCGTTGCTGACGTTTGTGTCGCAGAAACCAACGAAGTTTTGATTTTTCCGTAAAACCGGCTCGGCTCATTTTTCGTTGCTATACAAGGTTGCCAGTATAGCCTTTCTTAAAGTAACATTAAATAATCGAAGATAATGCGTAGTTTTGTTCAAAAGAAATGAAAATAAATGCGTAACTAATTATTTGTTACCATATAGATCATGTATATTTGCCTTGTGTTTATGTTAAAGCAAATAAATTATGAAATTCGTTGACGAAAATTATGAATTTGTTCAAAAGTGTGCAAACACACAGGCAGCTGGCAACATTTCGCCGCTCTCAGCAGCGTCGATAGCTCGTGTATGTATTTCACTACTAACGTCGTCAGTTATGGACGGCTGGAGAGTGAGTTGGGTAGTTGCAGCCTAAGGATATTCAACGAAAATTTTCGAAGTTCTCTTGCAATTACACATTAATAACATTCTGATTCGAACATTCATTTTTTATTTTATTTAGACGTCTTCAAACTTCAAAAGTGTAGCAATTATGACAGAGGCGTTCGCAAAGCTGAGGAGCTGAATCGCCAAAGCATGACACTATTAAAGACTTCTGCATATACAGTTTCGTTTACAATTTTTTGAAAACGATTTTATTGCTGTATTGTTATTTATTTGCTATGCTATATAAACCATGTACATACATGAGTTACTCCGGCATCAATGCTCATCTGCGTTCTCTTTGTTTGTCAAGAATGACGAAAATGCACATGTATACAAGTGTAAACATCACATTCCTCATTTCGGCGTTAAGAGATGCATTCTTGACATGATCGATAGCCTTCTTGCTTGGAAGAGGTTTCTTTTTTTACAAATAGAAATTTGACCAAACTAACAAATCATTAAGGTTGAATAGCTTGCCATAATAACTTCACATTTCCAAATGATCAAAATCGAGTTCATGTCCAAAATGGTTTTTTTTTGTTATTTAGGCCTATTATTATTTTTATCCCATGATCTTGCTACTGAAATAAATCTAAAAATTCAGAACAAACTGAATATTCCCCAAAACCAAATTTATTTACAATTTCATAGCTGCAAACAGTTTTAACTCAGTTATATAAGTATGTATTTATATTAAAAACAATAAAAAATCTCATCAATGCACTGGATATACTGGAATACGGACTTGAAGCATCTGAAAGAAAATTTCAAAATATAATATAAAATTATAATTATAAAATATATGTATATACAACAATATAAAATGATAATCATAATTCAATAGTAAAATATCTCTGAGATTGCGCCTACAAAGCTAACGTTATTCACTGTTGTAAATAACATTTGACAATCAGTTGTTGCTTTGCTTTCGTCACACCTCCGATTCAGTCTGAATAATGCATAGCAAGCAAGCTGGAAATTCTAATATTCCGCGATGCTGTTTAGCTTGATAAAACTGGTTTCATTTTTATTTGCTAAAAAGTTCAAGTTTTTTTCTTCTTCTTGCGCAGTGCACATATTCGGAATGGTATAAGAGTTGGCACTTCACTTCGAAATTATGTCGTATAGTCCCCTTTTACATGCGTCAAGTCTTGAATACAATTTTTTTGCATTCTCTTTTGTGTTTACAATTTGCTTTCACACTTGCTGCACTTGCCGGTACCGAGGTATCTGTACCCTTCCCCTTTCTTCTCACCTCCCTCGTCAACGATCTAGCAGACTTGAAAGCAAGACTTGACGCATGTGAAAGGGGACATACAAAAATAATCACAAAACCTAAAGGCGCAATCTAAATATATATAATACTTCGTTCTTGTATGCAAATCTCTACTTACTTTATTAGTTTTATCAAAGATAGCACGTGCACGTTCTTGATTTAATCGATAATTAACGAATTTATCGAACATATAGCCACGTTTCATTGATTCCAATAAAATACGATCTTCACCAATATCCAAGGTGATTTCATTTGAGGAGATCTATTAAAAGGAATTAATGTCAGTATACTAAGCAGCAGTCAATAAAGACTAAGCAAATATAAAAATTTGTATCTTATATGAAATAAAAACCCTCTAATAGAGTGCCGGTATTAAAATATATTTTCCTAAATTGATGAAAAAAGCTATTAACTCTGGGATTGAGAATAAACGTAAGGCAAATAAATAAAATACAACATTTTTTGTTAACTTCCATTCGTTTGAGGTAATTTTCGTTCACTTCTTGGCACATATTAGGCGACATCTCAGCCAATAAAGGCGAAAGAAAGACCATACCGCTCCGAATTGAGAGTGACAGTCTCGTCTTTGTCGTTTTCAAAGAATTACACCTCCAGACCAGAGCAAAGAGCACCATAGACAAAAAAAAATGTTTGTTCGGATGTAACGTCCACACTTCAAGAAGAAGAATTTGAAGATTTTTGGGTCTCTAAATGCGGCAGAGAAATGTGCCTCATCGCTGCAGAAATCAACGTCCACTGATTATTATTCAAGCCCCCAATCGACGTATGTCGACGTTGTGAATGGCACATAAACACATTGGGCTACATTTTCACTTACAATATCTATAATCGATAAAAAAAGCTCTTCAAATTTTACCACTACCTTGAGTAGTAGTGCGACGATTATGTGCGCTCATAATCTTCGCTGAAAGCACGAAACTTGGCTACGTTTGGATCATCATTTTTGTGGTAGGTTTAAACAATTGTTAAGCGATCCATTTTCATGAACACCTGATTTTTTAACTTTTACAGCACAGTACCTTTGAAACCACGAATTCGATAACCCGATACTATTGATTTTCCAGTTGCTTTATTCTTGGAAATTCAAGTTGTTGGTTTGAGAGAAAAACGTAAGACCTCAACGAAATTGGACTCAAGCATACAAAAAGGTCTATTGTCTACTTACACATTTCGGCAGGTAGAATTCGGCATGTATTTCCTCCACTTCCTCCTCACACAACTTGGCACGCAATTTGAATTCCGGCACAGAGGAACCGGCCAGGGAAATCGCCTGTTTAATATTTGTTGAGTTTTGTTTGATCTCTTCCGATTTCTGTTTCAATACATTCAACTCATTGGCGTTGATCTCCTGAACTAAAGGCGCTTTCTTACCGCCCCCAATCGCATTCGCGCCCTCTAATTGAGCTAACTTCTTTTTATCCTCCTCACTTGGTTGTTTATATGAGTTTATAACGGTTTTCACATCATTATTGCGTACACGATGTTGCACAAGTGTACCGATAAATTTTCTATTTTGCAATATAATCGATTTTTCAACTTTGATTTGTACATTATATTTATCGTTCAAGGCCTCGGCAATTAGTGCTAGGAAAAAGTCCTTGAAGAGCAAGGATTTCTGAACTTTTACGAAGAATTTCGGATTAATCGCAATATCAGAAACATCAACGGAATTATTGGACTTATCCTTAGTTATGCGTGGATCGGATATGCTCATGGGTATACGGAATGAGCTTGGCGCTTCCGATTGCAAAATGTCAGCCAATTGCTCTTCAGTGATGTCTTCCGGTGGCGGTATCTCCTCACTTTGGCAAACATTGATGAAGAATTTCTCATCCGTATTGGTCTTGAAGCTTTTGATGCAGATGCCTGTAACGAAGCGAGTTGTTTTAAATGATATTGAGTTAAGTAAATTAAATGACGAAAAAAAGAGCGTTACACACATACAAACATACCAGATATTAACACTTAACACGAGTGCAAAAGAAATACATATAGATGTACATATATGTATATGTACAGGTGTATATGCATGTAATGAATTCGCAAATTAATGAGTGTCCCAATTTGGGTCGCTCGATAAAAGGTAAATATGTATACATGCATATGCACATACATATAAACATACGTTAGAATTGCGTTAAAGTGTAACGACCAGAGCGAAGCGAAAGTTTTGAGTTAAGGCAGTTAAACCAAATTTCAGCCACAGAAAGTTCAATGGCATTGGAGATGTGAGACTAACAAAATCACTGTCAACCTCAAAAGTAACGAGTAACTATTTTTACATATATGTAGTCGTAAAGTTAAGTAGAATTACAAAAATGGCAATTGGAACTAAGTATTGCCGTTGGGAGTTAGGACGTTGGCTTCCTGATCATATCGGCCCAACAAAATCAAGAGCCATTTTTGCGCAAAAAAATCACATCTGAACAAATCGGTTGTGTGGATCTCGTCCGATTTCAATGATTTTCGGTAAGGATGTTTTTTTTTGGATATACAATGCATGTATACTTATATTTGCATCAAATATCTCAGAAACGGAAGGCCAAGTACGAGTGTGAAGAGCTTGAGAAACTGGTCGACATGGCTAATGATCGATAATTCGACGAGAAGAAATGGCGATTAACAGAAGGTTTCAAGACCGGAGCAGACACAAAGAGGTGTTCTAGTAACTGATGCCCAGAATATAATAAATTTAAGGAGCGAACACTTCTCAAGTGTACTGAATGGCAATGGGAAAATGGAACACTAGGAGATGGTGGATCCGATTCTTCAATCGATGACAATGGAACAAATGTTTTATAGGCCGAAGAAGTTCGATTAACAATTATATATATATATTGTATATATATTGTATATATATTGTATATATAATTGACACTTTGTAACCGCTGAAGCGTTTGGATGGTTTTCCAACATTCTGAACCATCTCTGAACTGCTGATGATTTTTCATGAAGAGCTTTTGTTTCGTGTTAGAAAAACACTCAGAGGGCTTGACCATCACTGTCGAGGGGTGATCGCAAATAAAAGAAAATAATTTTTTTTAATTTTAGATCTTAGTCATACGCAATGCTAACCGCTCGGCTAATGCAGCCGCCAGCATTAATACCTACAAAAATGACAACTTTGAGATCCAACTCAAAATCACTCTTGCCGACAGGTACTACTTTGAACTCAATTGGAAAATCGAAAAACAAAGTCCACTCTCGATGAACAAAAACCGACCTTTACAAGTCGCTTATCATTACCGTCCTGCTATATGGTGAGGAGTTGTGGACGATGATGCGTAAGATTTCTGGACCTCTGCGCATTGGCGACGGCAAATACTGCAGCCGTAGGAACGATGAGTTGTTCGAGAGATCAAATAAATGCGTTGATCAGCGATCCATAATGCAAGCATTATGGTACCAATTGGCAGTGTGGAGTGGACACACTAACCACCCTGGCAGGGTTTGAGGCCTATCTAAAACCTCTGCTGTACTATGGATCCGGCACCCGTTTGCAATGCTACTAAACATTGAGCTGACCCAACGTCAACTCTTCCCGCATTTGGGTTTAAACCACAGTCACCACGATACACCCCGAGGTCGCATATCCGCTTGAGCAGGTCGGAGCAAGCTCCGAGTGCTCCTGTTCCCCGTGCTACCAGATTTAGGTCTCCGGGTGAACCTCGTAGCCGAAACTACTACTAGTTGAGCTTCCATACAGCTCCGGACTGGTGGCCTGGGGTTGAACCTCAATCTCCGCGTACCGACTCAAGCATGCTCATTCATACTCCTAACCTAATGTTCAATTAAACCTCAGACGCGTTCCCCGTCTAAACACATCACGCGCGAACACTTCAAACACACGCATGTACTCTCCACATGAGAGAACATCACACACCCTATACCGTCCATCTGTCCTAATTATTCCCATACCCCCTAAGTCCCTAATGTCTGAGTACATCGGGCATTCACACAACACATGCATCCAATCCTCTCGCTCCATACCACACTCACATAGTTCAGCGAATGAAGAGACAGCGGCTATGCTGACTAGATCACGTGGTCCGGATGAATAAGATTACTCCAGTTTTGAAAGATTCCTATGTAGCCCCCGCCGGTGGAAGCAAAAAATGAGGAAGACCTCCACTCTGTTGGAGACACCAGGTGGAGAAAGACCTATTTGTTCTCGATACTTTCAATTGACGCCGAGCAGCAAAAAAAGGCATATATACCGCACTGTCGTTAAAGCGGATATACGCGCGTAACGGTATCTACGCCAGTAAAGAAAATGATCCAACTAAAGGAGGAAAATATTTAAACAAAAATTATTTCGCGTAAAAAAAAGAAACTCCTTATATAATTATTAATCACTTCCATACATAAATACATACATATGTAAATAGTAAGTATGCACTTTGCGCAAACTTCAGTTACGATTTATTTACCACCACTGTGGTCGTTTATTGCAACCAAGTTATGTGATGATAACAACCAACGGGTAGTTACTTAGATTAAAAAGCGAATCTTATCTTTCCATCATGCGAAGACCAGAAAAAGAGTCTACATATATACATACAGTGGCTCAAAAATGAACTCGGACACACAAGTTATATGACTTTAAACGAAAAAATATAAAATAAAATGCAAATCGAGGGCTTTCTGTTTAACATACATATATTTCTATTCCTCAACCAAAACCATAAACTAAAATCAAGTCGGTCGTATAAAAATTATATGAACATAACAACTTAACAAAACTGATGACAAAAACAAGCTCGGACACATACATAACATAGAATTTAAAAATATTATTAAAAAAGAGACAAAATATTCTTAATATTTGGTCGGCCAGCCTTTACTTTTTCTCATTCAACCTTCTTGGCAGAGATTCAACTTAGAGAATCTATTTTCCCACACTCTTCTAAAAAAGCGGCTTCTAGGTCTTTCTTATTTCTAATATTATATATTTTCAGCTTATTTTCCAAATGAGCCCACAGATGTTCAATTACGTTAATGTCGGGAGCTTGAGGAGGTGTTTCAAGCACTTTAGGACAGTTATACATCAACCATAGACGAACATCAAGTGCTTTATACTTGGAATCATTGTCTTGGTAGTACGGGAAATTTCCTTTAATTCCCAACTTTTCCGCACTTTGCACTAAATTTTCTTTTAAAATGGTCAGATATTGCTTGTGATCCATATTACCATTTATGAAACACAAATTTCCAGTACCAGCTGCGGACATACAACGCCATACCATTACTGAGCCGGCTTCGTGTTTAACAGTCGGACGTAAATTCTTTTCTAGGAACTCTTCATTCGGTTTTCTTCAAACATACGACTGTCCATCTGACCTAAATATATTGAATATGCTTTCATCTGCAAATAAAACTTGTTTCCAGAATTGAAAATCCTTATCCCCATGACATTTTGCAAATTTTATCCTTTTGTTTCGGTTAACCTAGTTAATAAATGGTTTCTTCCGTGCTACTCTTCCATTATAATTATTTCTTCGTTAGACTATTCGGATACTCTCCGGATTACAATTTATATAGAGATGTTGCAGAAATTCTTCTGAGAGCTTGGGAGCGCTCATGTTTGGATTTTTTTTTTGATTTGCTGCAATATCCACCGCTCATCTGCAGCCGAAAACAACTTCGGTCGTCCAGACTTCTTTTTGTTTTCCACGGATTTTGTTTGTTTGAATCAATCACGTCATGCATAGTCGAGCGGGGTTACACTTCTGCGATTTCCCGAATGGTTTTTTCTTAATTGAAAATGACTAATAATTTACTTCCTTACTTCAATTGAACTTTGTCCACGCTGTCTACCCATGTTTGAACTTTTCACCTTTTTTCCAAAAAAAAAAAAAAAAAAAAAAAATTACTGAAATTTTATTTTCAGCTATTACGTTTGATTATATACATACCCATTTTTAAACGAAATCAAACTATTTGTGGAATTCGCCTTTTTGAAATGCCATGGACCTGTAATACTACCAGAAGTCCGACTTCTTTTTTGGCCAAATTTCTAGCATGCTACATGTTAATTTTTTGAAGTAAGCGTATAGAGACCTATAAACTATTTAATTTGTTTGTTATTGGTATTTTTAAAATACTTATTGGATACCCTATAGAAGTGTAAAAAACAAAAATGCTTAATATCAATAGATTAAAAGAAATCTAGCTTGGAGCTGTATGTTAATAACAGTGGAATGTATGTCCGAGTTCTTTATTGAGCCACTGTATGTAGAACGGGGAGATATTTAATTTTTTCAAGCTACACAAGATGAAGGATATACGTCCTTCTGGATTCGTGAAATTTGAAAAAGGGGCTTGAAATACAAACAGCCAACATAGCGTTAAAAAAAACTAATTCCCTTCCAAAGAAAGAGTTAGTAAGAACCCACTCCATAAAGGAAAAATACTCTACTTTGAATGTCATTTAAATTAGCAAACATTGATTCTTATGCTAACGACATCAATTTAAATTTTTGTTTTTCCTCTTTTCTGACTTTCGTTTAGAAATATTGATTCAATATGACAGCAGCGAATTGTATGAACTTGCCATAAATTTGAAAATTGTTATTTGTTTTCCTGCTCTCACCTTTATGAATTCGCCTTGATTGTACGATTCTCAGTTTTGACTTTTCGAAACTTTGATTACACAAGCAAAATACACAGACTTTTTGTTTTTGTATTCTTGCTACTACCGTGTGTGAATTTGCCTTGCTTCTCAATTTTTTTTTTTTTTTTTTTTTTTTTTGGGTTAGTTGTGTGTCCTGTTCTGCTCGAACTTGAGCTGCTCTGCTCTATTTTCTCTCAATTTTTTCTCAATGAACAGACCTTATATTTGTTTGTTTGGCGTCAATCTTAATATT